GCGAGAGCGGGCGTATAGGCATGTCTGTGCAGCGAAACACATCAGGCTAAACGGAGTGACGTCAGAGCGCGCAGCAGACGCAGTAAGCATGCCTGAAATCAACTAGGTGGCATTGATCCGACACACCAAACAGCGCATTTACCATTCACTTCGACAACACCCCCAATAACAACGCTGTTTCCCTCACATAAGGCGAGAAGAATAAGCGAGCGTCGATAAGCGGCCTCGAAGCGAAGTTTCTAAATTGACGGTTGATAACGGCGAGGGAAACAGTGTCGTCACTGAGGGCGATGTCGAAGTGAATGGTAGATGCGCTGTCTGGTGCGTCCGTTTTGATTTATCGGGCTCATTGCATCGCTCCGTGGAGATCACCGGTGGCCTCTTTTACAAAATTTCAAAGTGGCTATCGACAAGTCGTAGGAAGGGCTTGAATTCGCCCACTCGACCTCTATCACCGCTGGTTAAAAGGTTAATTGTGGTAATTTTCATAATTACAGCCACAAATAATGTTTGTACGCGCTTGAAGATGCATTCTGTCACAGGAAAGGCAACGCCGCAAATTGCACACAGATTCCACCTCTGTGATTTTGAAAGAATAGTGGACTCATTTCTTGAAACACCCTGCATATAATGAGAGCTTTTGTCCAAGTAGCTTTGTGCGTTAAATTTACGAGTTCAGTTATTTTATAAACAAGTATACTTTCTACCAGTAGGCTTCATTATTCATAAACGTCTATGAACGGTAATTACGTCATTGTCCAAAGTTGCTGCAGAGTTCAGCATAAAAGTCAGAAAACTTGATGAATATTTTTCACGTCGCTTGAAGATCCAAACAGACCAATATTCACCCATTTCTACTTATACAACTTATGCGTATAATGAAACACCCTTGAATAGCTTCGAGTACAGAGCCCGGCTTGCAGTTTTGACGTGTCATAAAACACGTTTAGTATGTGGGCCTTTCGTGTTTCATGTAACTTGCTCACCTTCGATTGCGCTTGTTCTGCACGATTTTCATATCTAACGCATGTAAGATTTGAACTTTCGCATGATGTGGTGGATGCATGTGCGCAGATATTATTTCTGTTGAAGTTTGCGTATTTCTTCTCTCAACAAACATAGTGAGAACTAACGGACAAGGAAAGTGGGGATGTTATTAGTAATAAATTCAATGTAAACGTAAACAAAGAAAACTGGACGAAAAGATAACTTGTCGCCAGCAGGAACCGAACGTGCGACCTTCGAATGACGCGTCCGATGCTCTCTTTAGGTGGCGGTCATCCCTCCTTCCTCTTAATAGGGTGTATATGTGCGTTTAAGGGAGCCTCAGTGATCGCTGCATGTAGCCACTGTACGGTGAGGCAAAAAAGTGGAGAGCATCGGACGCGTCATTCGAAGGTCGAACGTTCGGTTCCTGCTGGCGACAAGTTATCTTTTCGTCCAGTTTTCTTTGTTCACGTTTACATTGAATTGATTAGTAATAACCTCTCCTATAATTTACTTGTCCGTTAGATATCATTGATATTCTGTCCAACAAAGAAGAACGAGCCCTTAAATTTACACTTCTTTCCCTCAACAATAATAACAATTTCAGGGTGGTGCTTTAAGTGTATGTTGTAATGTTTAGAAGAAGACTGTTCTGAAAAAAAAATGCTACCAAACTAACGCCTGAGTCTTTGTAGTTGACTTATCTAATCGTGGAATCACGTCTTTGCATACTTCATTGCTTTTTGCTGCTTAGCCTTATTTGTACGAATATGCTCAAAAGTTGCTACAGTTTCTTCCGTTTCTTTCAAAACGTTTTCATTGATAAGAGTGGGATTTCAAATATTGGTCGCCTTTATTGTTTCTCACACCGTTTCCGAAAGAAAACCGTTTTCAAACGCATTTCCGGCAAGCTCTGCCGTACAGGTGAGAGTCGCCAATGATAGTATAGACTGTTTGCAAATGATAGTTCGATCATGTAGCATGGTAAAATCATTACGGCTGATACTAATTTGTAAATTGTTCACCCTCTTGTGTGTGAAACTGGCTTTAAACTGAATAAGTGAATAAATAACCAGGGGGATAAAAAGCAGCATCCGTGCGCTGCGTTCTTCTCCACTGTGAACCTCCACCCAGGAAAGGCGGGCCACTGTTCCCGCCGCGAAGGGCTAGGGGCTAAGGTACTGTGCTATAAGGTACTCAGTCGCTGCGATCGTTGAGCGATCATGGGAATGATGGGTAGTACACACATTTGCCTATCTTCGTACTTGAGGGCGGCGATTCGTACTTGCGGCTTCGTTTATTGCTGTGTTTCGGTTTTGTTTTGTAAGAAAGATTCAGCGCTTTTGAACTTCATGACCCGATTTGGAAAGGTAAGTCTAAATGAATAAGATTGGGAAGCACAACCGCCGAATATTTGCTAATATTAGTTTCGTAAGAAAACAGCTCCAAGCCACACGAACACACACGGAGCCAAAGGAATGCCAGAAGCACGAAGATTATACGAATGTTTGTATTACCCATCATTCCCATGCTCGCTGAAGCGCCGTGCGTTGCAACTCCCATAGACACTAGCGCCAGAGTTCGCTCTAGAAACTCTATGTTCACCCCGGCAAACGCGCTACGCCGCAACGGTGCTTGTTCGGCGTAGGCACTGCGCGCTTTTCCTTCTTTAAGAACCACGCATTCATTAATCGGCGCGGCGTTGTATCAAGCGCTTGACATCGCGAGCTAACTTATTTTGGGCGGCGTTTTTTGCAGGGTACACCCACCAAAGGCGCTTTCATTGCCGTTCGCGATTTAGCGCGGCTTGTAAGGCTGCCGGATCATCGGTACCCAGTTTGTGCCGGCGCACTCGGCCTCCCGGGCCTGTTTTTGTGCTATATAGGATCGACCCATGGACAGGAGTGCACCGGCGAATGCTAGCTCTTCCACGTTTCCGTTGTCGGCGCTCTTCTAGAGTTGTCCGTAGCTTACCCACGCGAAAGCCTCCCACGTAATCACCCGGGAGACTCCCAATTAATTCAGAAACGATAATGGAAAACAACATATAAAGGATTCCTTGCATCCGACCAATAAAGCGCGCCATTTTCAAATGGCTTCGAGCGCTCTTAGGCACGCGACAACTCACGATTTTGCTCCCCAGAGTGCGTATTACTCTTTAGTGATAAAATCAAAGATTTGTTTTGATCTACCTGCCCTGCTGTGCCTCGTCTTCGGCTTATATTCTAGAAAATATGGTGAAACGTGCTTGCTGCGGTCAATCAATGTGCACGTTCAAGCAAGGAGGTTAGTTCTCTTCCTTCTTTTACATAAACTTTACAGATTTATTATTTATTCTATTTCGTGATATCTATATTTAACATTCGTCGCGGTACTTAACATCTCACATTTCACTTCGCTCATCCTCAGAGGTTAGTGCGCTTATCAGATATTTTACGCCGCGCGAAAACGCGCTCAATTTCTCACAACTGAAATAAGGCTGAACCTGCGTACATGTCCCGCCATCTGGCCAATGTTCTGTGCACTAAAATATACCGCTCATTACAAAAATGGGAAAGCACTGATGCCGAAGCACTGAGGAAAAGTCAACTAAGCTATCTCACATAGTTCACTTCCTTTACATGCTGTTAACAATTTGCTGCGCTGGATAAGTATGAGGGATTGCTTTTCTAATTTATATTTCATTGGCTTGCCTAATATGTCTCGCTAAAACAATCAATTACCTCAATCGTGCACCTGACAGCAGTAAAGAAAGCTCACGAACGCAAAATTTTACTCTCAGCCACAGTTCTAGCATGTGCATAGAAGTACTCTCTTACGGGCTAGTCAATTCTTCGCACGTCTGCGCCCATAAATAATGATGCAGATTACGATCAATTGAAGTTTGATTGATTGATATATAGGGTTTAACGTACGTTCCAAAACCACCATATGAATATGAGAGACGCCGTTGTGGGGGGCTCCGGAAATTTTGACCACCCTGGGTTCTTATACTTACACCCAAATCTGAGCACATGGGTCTACTGCATTTTCGCCTCCATCGAAAATGCGATCAAATAAAGTTTGGGCTTCCCTTGACACGGCCCTTCCCTCGTTCTTTCGTTGCGCAAAACAGCCATATTTTTGTGGCCTGTGCAAGCATGTGCACCCCTTTCCTAGCTCATACACGTGCACTCACATGAAAGGAAAGGAAGAAAGAAAGAAATAAACATATAATTGCCCTCTTCATGAAACAAAGAAAATAACGCATGGGAGTGAATGTGTTGAGGAGGTTTCGGTCGAGTGTGACAAATGGAGCAACGTAAGGACGCACGCACGACACGAAGCACAAAATAAAAAGAATTCGATGTGTAATAACTCCCGGAAGCGGCGGCAGAAGGCAATGATCTACGAGACGCTGTGACACATCTCTGAAATGCGCAGCGGGGGGTTGCGAGAGAAAAAGCATTGCAGCATTACAATTGGCAGCGACTGTCGGTGGTGAATGACCGGCCGGCCGGCCAACGTTGCTCCCACTTCCTTTTAATGCTGAGTCACTTCGAAATTGAGCCAGTAGCACCGACATTTGCCACTTCCGAAACCGAAACTTTGTGGTCATCTCTGAGTCCATGTTGCCAGGTGAGTACGTCTCGTTCGCCATCTTTTGAAAAACTTTCCATTTGACATTTAAAATCAAACAAGCTTTCAAGTTACAGAAACCAAGTTGTAAGCACAAAAGTTAAATTTCACTTGTATAAAAATTTGATTGTTTGCTTGTTTTTTATTTATATTTGCACAAAACAGCGTTTTACGGCCAAAATTATTGTGTGAGTGTCGTTTGTTTAAAGACACAAAATGTGCAAACAAAAACGTCATAATTGACAGTTTTGTAGCACAAAATGAAGCTTAATTTACTTGAATAACGAGAGTTATTTTTTTTTTGTTACGCCGCAAAGGTGTGACGTTTTTTTTTATTTTGTATATTAGTAGTTTGCGTTGTTGTTTCGCAACCGGGTCGAAAACCCTGGTCCGCGTGAGCGATCGCGCCTCCTGCCAGACGATGTAACGATGGCGGAGGAGCCGGATCGTGCGATGTTTACGTTGGACTTGTTGCCTCAGGAATTGCTCGTGCACATCTTGTCATCCCCGCAGATCGAAGTGGACGATCTGCTGCGCGTCTCCCAAGTGTGCGCGCAGTTCCGCGATGCCGTGTGCTGTAACGAGCTGTGGAAGAGGAAATTTGCTCGTCGGTAAGTCGTGGATTTTCCATGGGGGGAGGGGGGGGGGTGGACCTGCCATTTCTTTTTCGCGCATCTCGTCCCCTGATGTTGACAAAACCGTGCTTTCTTTGGCGGCATATCCCACTAGCGGTACTCGTAATTGATTGATCCTCCATTCGCGGCACCGATATGGAAACGCATGTCGAAAGTAACGACGTCGTTTGGGTTCGCAGCGTTTGCCTGCGCAGTGGGAAAACGCCGCAGCCAGCAATCAGCTGATCGTTGACTGATCCAGTCTCAATGTAAGTTTCGTTGTTTGGGGACTGCTTTGTACGTTAACGCGCAGTCGAGGAGCCGTCACTCGTAGATAACGTTGAATACGCGAACTCAACTGCTATCGAAATATGCAACGTGCGGTTTCCCATTGTCTCGATCTGTTCGGCGTATTTTTGGAAGCCTCGTTTTGCGCAAGTAGAGCTTCGAGGGGGTTACCGAGATCGCCTTAACGAACTCGGCTAACTCGACGGCATGTCCTAGAACTGATACGTTCGTTCGCGCGTAGTGGCGTAGCGTTGCGTAGGTCCGCGCCACCCCGGTGGCGTTTTTCGGTGCCCGTACAGGAATAGACGCCGGTGAACGGTGCCAGGATTGCGTACACATTTCGGGTACACTGACGTGCTCTGTAGGTGTACTGCGTAACGCACCCGGCGATGCCTCAAATGGTCGGGACTACGGGTCGGAAACCCGGCTTGCGTAGTGCGTACCGGAGGTATGGGTACTTTAAATAGTCGCCTGTTGCCGAGCGACGGCAGGCTATTGCCCGCGCTGCGCATGGGTGAGGAAGCACGTGGTGTCATGACGTGCTGACGTTTGTTGGGGATGAGGATATATTCTGGAGGTAACGCTACAATAATTTGTAGGATAATGATAAGAGCACGTGCTGCTTCGCCTTTTGCGTCTTTCAGACAGTGACTTTTTACTTGGATGATACGATGCACTGTCAGCGCACGAAGAGTTCGTCATTGTACCGTGAAAACTGAAGTAAAAAATCCCACCAATTTGTGAAGAACTGCTGTATTCAGCCGAGCTCGAGCCATGTCAAACTAATGATGATATATACAAATTAGAAAGTGTTACGAATGATATGTCTACATGATGAACAAGAGTCGCTAATTGCACTTACAGTGTGCATTGGTGTCTGTGACAGCTTACCCTCTTAATACAGAGAGACCCTGACAGTGTATTTGCTTGCTGACAACTATGAAAGCAAAGCTTCATAAGGTAAATTGAAGTTTGCATTCAGTCTATGACTAGATTGAAGCGACTTCGCTGTTGAAAGGTAGCCAATTTATTGGCTTGCAATTGTCATTAATGAGGTAGCCTGTCAATTCCTTTATATCACATCATACATCATCAGCCTGACTATGCCCACTGCAGGGCAAAGGACTCTCCCATGATCTGCCAATCAACCCGGTCTTGCTGCTTTCTGCTGCCACGTTATACCGGCGAACTTAATAATCTCATCGGCCCACGTAGCTTACTGTCTCCCTTTCTTGCGTTTGCCTTGTCTGGGAATCCAGTCAGTTACCCTTAATGACCAGTGTTAGTCCTGCCTACGTGCAACTTGCCCGCCCATGTCAATTTCTTCTTCTTGATTTCAACTCTGATATCCTTAACCATGGTTTGCTCCCTGATGTACTCTGCTCTCTTCTTGTCTCTTAAGGTTACATGTATCATTTTCCTTTACATCGCTCTCTGGGTCGTCCTCAATTTAAGCTGAACCCTCGTTGTAAGCCTCTAGTTTTCTGCTCCGTAGGTAAGCACTGTAGAGATGCAGCTGTTATATACCTTCCTATTGATGGTTAGTGGCAGATTACGAATCATGATTTGGGAATGCTTGCCAAATGTTATTCACCCCATCTTTATTCTTCTATTTATTTCACTATCATGTTTCGGCTCTGCGGTTTCTACCAGTCCTATGTAGACATATTCCTTTACAACTTCCAGTGTCTCTTTACCTATCGCAAAGGGTTGTTTTCTGCTGAGACTGTTGCATTACTTAAGTTTCACTCATATTAATTTTCAGGCATTCTGCATTCCATGTACAGATCAGTAATCATGAGTTGTTATTCTTGCCCTGAGTAACTCATCAAGGCAATGTCATCAGCGAACCGCAGGCTGCTAAGATACTCTCTATTAACTGTCATTCCTAACTCTTCTCTCCATTAAATCTCATCCCTAACTCTTCTCAATTCAGGGCTCTGAAAACCTTCTGTAAACATGCGGTGAATATCATTGGAGAGATCGTGTCTTCCTGCCATACACCCTTTTTTATTGGGATTATGTCGCTTTCTTCATGGAGAACTATGGTGATGGTGGATCCACTGTATATTCTTCCAGTATGTTTATGTTGGGTTCATCGACGCCCCGATTCGTACTGCCTGTATTATTGCTGATGTCTCGACTGAGTCAAACACCTTCTCGTAATCTATGAAGGCTATGTATAGAAGTTGGTTTTATTCCACACATTTCTCTATTACCTGATTGATAGTATGAATATGGTGTGCGACAAATTCCAGCCACGGTTTATCGGGCCGTACACAGTTCTTGAAGAAACTTCACCAGTGAATTATCGCGTGACGTCACTTGTCCAATGGTCTCTTGCGGAGTAGCCTGTACGAAATCCTGCTTGGTTGAACTCTAATGTCGCCTTGATTCAATTAGCTATTATTTTGTAAATAGTTGTAGGGAATGGACAGTGAGCTGATCGGCCGGTAGTTTTTCAAGTCCTTGACGTTTCCTTTCTTATGGATTAAAACGATGTTGGTGTTCTTTCAAGATTCTGTTACCCTACCCATCAAGAGACACTTCGTAAATAAGGTGGCCAGTTTTTCTAACACAATTTCTCCGCCATCTTTCAGCAGGTCCGTTGTTAGCTTATCCTCACCAGCAGCTTTGCCTCTTTGCATTTTTTTCTAGGGCTTTCCTTACTTCCCGTCTCATTGCCAGTAGGATGTCGAATTCCTCTGGGCTATTACTACTCCTTACAATACCATTCTGGTTGTTTCAGCATCTGTACAGCTCTGTGGAACTCCACCGCCTCCTCAACTATCCTATCCATATTGGTTATGACGTCTCAGCTCTAATCTGTAGAAGTATATCAATTGCCTCTTCCCTTCTCTCTTACACCTAAGATCACTGGCACAGTGCACTGCTTTTCAGGGCAGACTGTGAGACTCTGTCCGCAACATACCCGATTATGTAACGATAACTGCGAGGAAATGGAATATGTTAGTGCATCTCTCGTTTCATTCGTTAGTAAGCAGGAAGACTTCCTACCATTGCGGATAAATCTGTGTACGTCACGAAATATTTGCGTACATGAAGGAGCGCTGATCAGAATGGGCCATTCAAGAGGTTTTCCCCAGCGTTATATCCTGGCAGATTTGTCGGGAAGGTATTGCTGGACTTGGATTAGGTATTTAGCATTGACTTGACTTGGGTATGGAATGCTGTGGCTCTTTCAGGCAAAATATGCCTGCCATACAGCCACTACCTTGCTGTTTGTGTACAGAATAGTAAAAGCGTGTTAATTCGGATTTCGCGGACTCGTAAAAAGATGTCCGAATAAACTGAATTCTGAGTTACCTAAAGTATCGAAAAACAAATGTCTATTGCATCAACGCCTCTTCATTTCCTTGATGAATAAGTAAATACCGTACATTGCCTAAGAGCAGTAAGGCTCAATTTTTGCCACTCGCGACTTAGTTCACAATGTGGCAACGGCTCAACGCCTCCCTGTCTTGAGTATTGTGAAAGGTAATGACTAAAAATGTTGTTAACCTTAGTACCATACCATAATTTGCACTAATGACGGTGGTGGTGCAGACACCACCACCTTGTTTCAGTTGTCTGCGGACGTCATTTCCTCTCGCTTGCAGCACTTGGCGCGCTCCTTCAATTGTCGATGTTCACTTTATTGCAGCCAAGTATGACCGAATTTTGGAGAGTTTGATGCAATTGAACATGCCTGAGACCCTGAAAAAAATGTTGGAATTATCTGATTTTTTCAGTATTGTGTGTTGCATTAATGTGCCTTTAATACATACATTGTCACAGGGTTGTCATGGTGAGGAATGCAAACTTTAGGCTGGTAAATGTAAAACTTTTTATTGGACTGTGTGCCCAGGAAAAGTAAGATTCAATGTACTAGCAGCACTTGCTGTGTGATGACAGCGGCCAGCGTGGATGTTGGTCATCTGACAGTCGGTCTGATACGTTGTTTTTTGCAAACATTTGAGTAAACATTTCAGCATTGTTAGTGCTCGTGTTAGCTCCAAAACAAACTCGGCTACTTGTGTTGTGCGTGCAGTCTTATCTGAGTAGTATCAGGCCATCAATAAGTTCCTATCCAAGCCAGTGCCGCTTGTAATGAAAGAGGTTATGGCTTTTGTGGATGAAACCCGGCCAAGTTAAAATAAAGGTAGATGCGACTATACATTTGTAAGTGTACTCTTTAACTTATTGAGGTTATGCTACTGTGTAATTGTGAAGGCAAGGGACATAGTGGTGCGTCTCTCATAGTCATATGGTGGTTTGATTGATTGATTGATATGTGGGGTTTAACGTCCCAAAACCACCATATGATTATGAAAGACGCCGTAGTGGAGGGCTCCGGAAATTTCTACCACCTGGGGTTCTTTAACGTGCACCCAAATCTGAGCACACGGGCCTACAACATTCCCGCCTCCATCGGAAATGCAGCCGCCGCAGCCGGGATTCGAACCCACGACGTGCGGGTCAGCAGCCAAGTACCTTAGCCACTAGACCACCGCGGCGGGGCACATATGGTGGTTTTGGGACGATAAACCCTACATATCAATCAATGGACATAGTGGTTCTCATACGGCATGTAACAGCATTGTCAGTATTGTATGTAAGTGCTATTCAATGTAAGCTCCTAATTTACTCTGAAATGTAATATTCAATGAATATGAAGTAAAGTTTGTTGCCTATATTTACAGCATAGGCTGAAAGCAATTCGTGTGCATGGTTTTCTCGAAATATTAATTTGTTAATATTGTTTGTTTCTCATGTGGCATTATACTGGCCACACATTGATACTTCTACAGTTGCATTGCTGTCGGCATGACGTTTTGCTACAGCAGAGCCGCCTTGTGAGCCATTTGCTAGTATCCTAAGCTCTGCAGTCTGCTGATACGTTTTTCGCACGGCCGCTTCCTGCTGCTATTCCTAGGTCTGAATTGACTCTTTCACTGTTGATTGGTTCCTCTTGTAGATTCAGTGCAAATGCATGAGTGAGCATCAAGAAATGTGATCCCTGTTGAACTTGATCACGATTGAAAGTGCACCATGCAACTACTGTGTAAAGCAAAAGAACACAGTAGCAAGTGCTGCTGCATACAAGTAAAGCCAGTGGCTGCCAAACAAAGCTCTAACATTATTGAATGTTGAACAGGAATTTTCAGATTGCGAAGTGTGTGCAAAAGAAACACTTTATTTTCAAAAAAAATTTTTAGGCAGTCTCTAAAACAGGGTAGAAGCTAAAGGGAATATAAATCTCTGAGCTTTCTTTTGTATGCACTTAAGAAAAATTTGCACATGTCCAAATACTATCAGGATTTTATGTTATCAGAATATTTACTATTTTGTCCAAATGTTACCAGGATTAGCACATGCCTTTTCATACAAACAAGTAAAGACTAACAGTGTCTGATATTTAATACTTTAAAATTATTCATAATCATACAGGACAAAGCAGAATATGCTCCTTAGAGATAGCAAAATTATTACACATAATGAAATCCTTCACAAAACTGCAACAATGTTATTCAACAAGAATAAACTTATTGTGAATCGTAACAGTATTTTATTCTTTTAATTTTGTGTGCTCTTACTTCCTTTCTTCCTTTTTTTTCTTTACTGTTTGTCTCCAAGTTGTTCATGTTCAGAGCGTCATTCGTTACTTTTCATCACAGTTCTAACTTTTCAGTTGTGTCATGACTGCATTTCAAAGAAATTCAACGTAAACCTGTGGTCCTGATTATCTGCCTTAGCTTCCTCGAGCCAGTAAAAAAAAAAAAGACAAATCTTCTTTTTATCTAGGTTTCCTGACCTGTTTCGCCAGTACACTGCCAGCAACACACGATGGCGCGAGGAATGCATGGAACGCCTCTCGTGCGGAGTCAAACTCAGGTCATGGATGTCTATGATGTCGCGGGACTTCTACTCACACGACGAGCTCTCCGAGGAAGCCTTCCGCGGAATCATGTCCCTGAGCGACCACCCGCGGAGTCTGCTCTTCTTCAACGATGAGCTGGCGACTATCTTGGAGGACAATCGGCCGTGAGAGCCTTTCTCCTTGCTTGCTTTTGTCATAGGCTGTGTTTCAGTACTGTTCCCCTGCATATAGGTAAACAAGAAACGCGTCCTATAGAAAGCATACTCCGCTATGAACAGCTCAGCCAAATCTTGCAATCACATGGGGCAAAGAGAGTTTTTTGATTGTGTCATTTTCTCAGGCACCCTTTCTTCGCACAAGGGCCCGTTCTCTTTCTTCGGAGCAGCTGGCACCTGCTGTCAAGTTCCAAGCAACGGATAGCGTGCTATTGACCAATAGTCAACATAAACCGAGAGTGACATTTGAATCAAGTGTGCTCCTTGCCATAAGGGGCCGTCGCATGTCAGTGCCGGCTCCATAGTCTGCTAACGTTACACAGAAGTCACGATAGTGTGTACAGGAATTGTAGCAGGAGAGAGTTATTGTGTTGGATCACATGCTCTCAAGGACTCGTAAATACACTCTGACATAACATATTTCTCCCTTTGCCATCCCTGCCGGTGTGGTTACCAGCGTACTTGTTGGGAGGAGAGGACAGAAAGCACTTAAAATGTACAGCAAATCCCGTAACTCTGCTTTATCCTTGACATATTTGAGAAATATTTTGCGAAATTTGATTCGTGAAGGAATAAGCTCCAGTGTGGAGGTGATTCAATGACCCCTTGGAAAAATAATTCAATATCTGAAATTCTGTTCTGGTTTTGACTATAGGCGCGTTTACACTAGAGCAACAGGACACCGACTTTGCTCTGCCGACTGTCTTTGGGAGCGTCTTTTGTATAGTTGTCGCCCGATTTACAGTACAACAACGCAAACAGCGCGCTGATGGTCTCTGCAATTTGGTCCACGCCTTGTCTTGCTCACAGCCTTTCGTCGACCGATTCTCTAGTCGCACTGGAGGCACACGCAGCGATACCGACTAAACTTGCACACCTGCTCCTTACTTTCGGCAATGCTCTCTGCTCTGCCATTGTCCCTCTCCGGCTATGTGGCATAGTGGGAAACACGAAATGGAAGTGAAGAAAAGACTTCTGCGGAGTTGCACATGATGCCTATTCAAACACCGCGGAAGTGTTCTGCGGGGCCTCATCATCTCCCCTAGGATATCCCCCTCCGTGGTCGCTTTTAGCTGAGACATGGGTGAATTTTCGCTCTGCTACTGAACTCCTGACAACACGCCGACGACAGGTCTACCAATGCATTTTGCTGGTGTTTTCAGTCTGCTATCATGTTACACTACAACAGGCTGTCTTTTGAGGCGTCGTCTCCGTCGTCGGCCCAGTCTGATCACGTGGTCTTGTGACTTCGTCGGCGGGCTCGGCCGAGTCTGCGTCGGGGTCGTATCAGTGTCATGTCGCTCTAGTGTAAACGCGCCTTAAGGTGGCAAAAGCGAGCTTTGGGAAGTTTGGCACGGGAATAGCAAAATGGTGTAGGCTACTGAGCGGTCCAAACATGGTGGCAGCTGGGCCATCCTGTGTGTTCTTGATGGTGTGGAACAGACACGGCGGCTTGAGAACTTGCCGAGTGTTTAAAAGCTGCAATAAAAACTCACCCCAAAATTACAGACCCATTTCTCTAATATCCATCTACTGTAATATGCTTGAGCATATAATCGCCTCCCATATATATAATCACTTAGAACAGAATGACTTTTTCTTCCCAAACCAATATGGTTATAGGAAGACCCTATCATGCAAAACACAGCTTTTCGAATCCACGACTGACCTACATCATCACTTAGATCTAAACCTGCAAATTGACTGTCTTTTTCTGAATTTTTCCGAAGCTTTCGATCGTGTTGCTCACTGCCGCTTAATCTCTAAACTTTCTTCTTTGTGTATAGATTCATCAACTTTATCATGGATATGGAACTTTCTTACTAACCGGCAGCAATTCACCATTGTTAATGATTTTTCATCCCCACTTTCATACGTTTGTTCTGGTGTGCCGCAAGGGAGTGTTCTCGGTCCACTGCTTTTTCTTATTTATATTAATGACTTACCAAGTAATTTATCCTCACAAGCGTGCATTTTCGCTGGTGACTGTATAATTTACCGAGCAATAACTAGTACTTGTGATCACGTAATAATTCAAAATGACCTTGACCTCATCAGCAATTGGTGTAATTGTTGGCTAATGTCCCTTAATTCAAGTAAATGTAAAGTAATGTCCTTCTCTCGCAAACATTCTAACTCTGAGTTTTCTTACTTTATTATTGGCAATCGCGTATCCAGTGTTGACTCTTTTAAATATTTAGGTGTAACTTTCACATTTAACCTTTCTTGGACTAACCACATTACCAATATCTGCTGTGACGCTTCACGATCATTAGGCTACATACACCCGCAATCTACGTAAGACACCCACAAATATACGTGCCTTACCTTACGTAACATTTCTTCGCCCTCAGCTGGAATTCCCTTCTGCAGTTTGGTCCTTTCATTACAGCTATTTAACTAACATGCTGGAGTCGATCCAGAATAGAGCCGCTAGATTCATCGCACAAAACTACGATCATAGCGCAAGCATAACACAAATTAAAAAAACTTATCACTCTCGCTTTTAAGCAGCCGACGCGATATAAACCTCCTTTATTACTTAATAAACATGTACATGAAAAAAGGCCATTATCTATGACATCTGCATCTGCATTCACATCATGGAGACTTAATAATCACCTTAAATTAACACGCATGTACGGTAAAACTTACATCTTTAACTCATATGCACTCCCCCATGTCATCCGCATGTGGAACAGCCTTCCAGATGAAATCGTAGCTGAACGCAATCGAGGAAAATTCCGGCACCTTCTACTTACCCATTTCCAAGATTAACTGCTCGTTTTATTCATATTGTTACAAGGAATAAAGTATACATGATGAATATACTGGCGAGCAAATGCGTATAACAATGCTGCAGTCCGAGCACGTTCCCCTCAGTACTTCGTCGTCGTAATCACCACTTCGTCGATGGCGGTAATCAACGCAGCATCTCCAGCTATTGCCCTTCTTTTTAACAAGTACAACGGGTGAGGACCAGGGACTAGATGAGGGTTCGATTATGCCCTTATGAAGCATTTCATCGACTTCTCGCTGTATAATAGCACGCTCCAGGGCTGACACACGGTAGGGCTGTCGGCGAATTGGTCGAGCGTCACTGGTGTCGATGCGATGGGTTACCATGGATGTCTGGCCCAAACTATGGTCGCCGAAGTCAAAGATGTCCTGATAAGAAGCAAGCACATGGCAGAGAGCAGAGACTTGTTCAGAGATGAGCTTGTCAGATAGCATTGGCTTGAAAAGGTCGGAACAGGAACGTGACGAGAGCGACGTTCATGAAAAATCGGGTGGCAAATCGGTGGTTAGGGCGGAAACTGTGTGGTCCACCAGTGGTGTCAGAAGCGCAAGCGACATGCCGCGACTAATCACTTGTGCTGAGAAGTTGAATTTGAGGACGGGAAATGAAGTTCGGTTGTCCTTAACTGTAATCACCGTGTTGGGGAGTGCAACATTACGTGTCATGGCCACGTCAGAAATTTGGGCAGCAACATAATCACCATCGGGTACTGGAGGATATGGCGAGAGTTGGACTTGGACGGCGGCTTGCGGTGGAAGTCTGAGGAAATCGACAGAGCGTAGACGAGGTGGGCTGGTAGAGACGGTCTCTGAGAAGGATGGTAGTTCGAGCCGTAGAAGACCTTTGGAACAGTCAATGAGCGCAGCGTGTGAAGTCAGAAAGTCGAGTCCAAGGATGAGGTCAGGAGGGCAATTTTCCAGTACAGCTAACAAAACTGAAGTTTTATGCTCAGAAATAGTTAATCGCGCAGTGCACATTCCAAGGACAGCAGGAGTACTCCCATCCGCTGTACGAACAGTAGGTGCAATCGCAGGCGTCGGAACTTTTTGGAGGTGGCGGCGGAGGTCTGAGCTCATCACAGATATTTGTGCACCGGTATCAATAAGAGCAGTTACAGGTAAACCATCAACGAGAATTGTAAGAAGGTTGCACCGCTGGTCGGGAGTAATCAGAGGATTTGCAGTCCGAGTCGTGTATGCAGCGTCACCTCCGGGGGCTGCACCGGCTGGTTTTCCGAGCGACAGTCGTAGGGAGACCGAGAACGGCGGGGTTATGGCGAGCGGGACTGACGACGCACGGGCGATGGCGAGCGGCTGGTCCGACGTTCTGAATTATGCTTTGCACCTGTCTCAGCACGGTAGGACGGGGCATAAGGTGCACGTTCGGAGTGAGGTCCCCAATCATAGGAGCTCGGTCGAGGTGATGAGGTCCAACGGCTGCGGCAATGGCTAGCGATGTGTCCTATCCTACGGCACTAGAAACATATGGGCCGATCATCATGAGTGCGCCATTCAGCTGGGTTTCGTCGTGGCGCGAACGTGCGGTTCGGAGTGGCAGCCACAACGACTGGAGCTGAGCTGGAAATAGCAGGGGCATTTTGATGAGGTGGCGAAATGCCCATATCCGCGATCTCTTGGCGAACCACGGCCTGTATCATTGAAACAGCATCGAGGTTGTGTCCTGGCGTGCTGACGCTAGACATAGCGGGTGCCATAGCCTCGAGTTCCCGACGGACTATTCTGGTGACGTTTTCCGGCGCTGGTGGTTGACGAAGTGTGGGTAAATCTTCGCAAGAGGACGTAGCCGCCGTGTTGGGAAGGCGGTCAAATCGGTGAACTATGCGCCTACTTTTCACCTGTTCGAAGCGACGACATGCTTCGATGACCGTCTCCACCACAGAGCAGTCCTTGCACAGCAGAAAATTGAAGGCGTCATCGGCAATTCCTTTCAGGATGTGTCAGACTTTGTCCTTGTCGAGCATGTCTTTGTCGACCTTGCGGCACAAAGCCAACACGTCCTGGATGTACGCGATGTATGGCTCTGTGGATGTCTGGGTACGAGTTGCAAGCTCTTTCTTTGCAGCCACTTGACGTCCGATGGGTTTCCCAAATAGATAGCGCGATTTCTGCTTACAGACGTCCCAGCTGGTCAACTCTTCTTGATGTGTCTCGTACCAGAGTTTTGCCGTGCCATGCAAGTAGAAGATGATGTTCGCCAACATGAGCGTCGGATCCCAATGGTTGCTGCTGCTGACGCGCTCATATAGAACCAGCCAGCCAGCCAGTCATTGACGTCTATGCCACTTGTGCCGTTGAATGGGCCTGGGTCACGAGGCTGCACCACAACGATCGGTTGCGGGGCTGACGGATCTTGTTGACATTAAGTAGCCTGGTCAGTCATCGTGGTAGCTGCAATGCGTCGTCCGCTGCGAAGATCCAGCTCGTGGGGCTGTATAGCGAGTTTACCCCGCACCTCCACCAATGATGTTACGGTGAATAAAGTATACTGGCGAGCAAATGCGTACAACGCTGCTGCAGTCCGAGCATGTTCCCCTCAGTACTTTGTCGTCGTCATCCTCAGGCATCTACTTAGCCCGTGACAATATCAAGACCAGCACCTACGTGTTCATTCACGACTAGTATCTCGCTTTTTTTTTCTCTTACTTTAAACTTTTTTTATGGTTTGATTACTAACATGACATTAAGTTCTGTTGTGTATTCTTGAGCGATGTTTTTTTTTTTAATAATGGAAAGGCTTTTTATAATTTGTGCTTGCTTTTTTAGCTTGTTTTACGTGATTATCTCACATTTATACTCATAGGATTTTCATTGCCATTCTATTCCTATTAAAATTAATATTAATATTTTCTCATTGTTATTCCTGTTAGGACTTGTATAAAAATTGACAATTAGTTTATGTTTATTGTATGTATGGAAATTATACCTATTCATGTATCTATTCCTTTTATGCTCCCCTTACACAATGCCCTGTTGGGTCTGTAAGGTATTTTGAATAAAAAAATGAATAAGTGTCCACTCACTGCAAGGCATGGCGATGCTTTCTATTTATTTAGTGTGGGCAATGTCCCGTTTTTCGTTGTTGTATTGTACTAAACAAATCTATAATGCGAGTGGTAATTCTGGGTGCTTTTTCTTTACTTTCTCTTGTTGCCATAGCCATCTTCCTTATATTTTTCATTTGTAGGAAACTTCAGCTTGAAGCCGTCTTTGCTCTCAACTGAGACCATCTCCAATGTTTGTCAGGATTGGAAAACTCTCTCATCGTGCATGTGGTTTTATATCCTAATGCCGGTCAGACCTGCATGAGGTTTCTCGGGATGAAAAAAAAAGAAAATAGTGTAATTGTGCATTCTACTGAAACTGCTGACTTATTTAGGCTGAAGCCCTGCAAGGAGGTGGGGTTTGGTCACAGGATCATTGTATTTAACTGGGTAGGATACCTGCCTCCATGCAATAGGGGTGTGTATTTGAGAAAATGTTTCTCTACTAGTGAAAAACGTCAACGTAACTGTGATTTAAGATTTGCGGTTGTTTCAATGTATTTCATGGCAACAGGAATCTGAAGGCAAGCATCGTGAACGGACTTGCCCTGCATTTGAAAAGTGCGAGCCCTAGGCAACCTAATTATCTGTACGTGCGAAGGAGTGCTAGATTTATGTAGCTGCAGATCGATGCGATATACTTACCTTAGTAATGCCTTCAGTTTCTCCACCGAAGGCGTTTGTCTCCTCTCTCCTCAAAGTGATGCCGTAACCACTGAATGAACTGCTAGGTTACGTGTAATATCAGTGTCACACACGCACTTTTGATGCTGTATGGCACATATCTGGATCAGATTTCTTTATCGTAATCAACAGTTGTCACTGCTGCACGGCCAAAACTAATCCGCAGTGGACTTGTACAGACATCATATTGCTGTCTGGGAGTCATGCCGCAATGTGTAGATTGGGACAGGGACTGCACACAATAAAAAAAAGTTACTGTTACACAACGCCTGATCCAAATGGAGCCAAGCCTAGATAAGCCCTGACTGCGATCAAAAGGGCTTGCTTTGCACTTGTGTAATTTCTTTAACGAAGTAAATTCATACTGTACATCGTTTTCTATGATACCAACTGAAAGATGAGGCCACGGAGGATTGTATTTACAGAAGCACAGTTTCTGTGTCTAGGAAAGAAGCGTAAATTTAAGGGATCGCTTTCCTCTGTTAGACAAAATATTAGTGAGAACTAATGCACAATGATGTGAAGGAAAATATAGGGGAAGTTGAGAGAAGTAATTGTAATGTAATTGGGTAGAAAAAAAAGTGTAGGAAAAAATAGCTTGACACCACCAGCAGGGACCGAACGTGGCGCTTTCAAATTGTGTCCAATGCTCTACCACTGAGCTATGGTGGCGGTCATCCCCTTCTTGTCCACTTTCGTATGTCGCAGGTTCAGGCCCTGCTTGTGGCAGGTTATCTTTGTCCACTTTTATTTCTTGATATTTACGTTACAGTTACTTCTAATAACATTTCTTATACTTAGCATCATTGTCTGGTAGATGTCATTAATACAGTTTCTGTGTGTGGCACCTTTATTTCGATTCCTCTGTAGTGTTGTTTTTTCAGCATGGATTCCACGTTATATGCAGGCACGAAGACCTCACGCTCAAGTACTACGCTCGACGGGTACTATGTCACATCTGCCACGAGCACATGAAGCAGCGCTGGGAGTCGTACTTGGGCGGCGGCGACGATGCCTCCGTTGCCGAGCCCATTCTGGAAGAAGGTGCCCTCCTCCTCTCCCAGTGGTGTCAGCCACTGCACCGGGTGCCCGCCGACTGGGTGCGTCACACCCTGGATGAAATGGCTCGTCGAGCCAAGGCAATAGCCGCTGCAAAGCACCCTGGACATCCCATCGTCAGGTGTGACTGGCAGTTAAACTATGCAGGTACGTGATGAGAGCATTCTCTGTCTGCTTAGAGTGGAAAATAACAAATAGTAAGCTACAGCGGCACCTGGATATCCGAAATCGCATTGAATGCAAAAGGCCAGCATACACGAATGCCTATTGATGTCCGCATCGTGTGACACTATGGCGTGACATCATCACTTTGTCTTGCGAGTTTTCTTGCCATTAGGTGGTAATGCCGATGCTCGCAGTACGGAAATTTCCTTTCGCGAGCCATGTAATCATCATCATCACCACCATCAGCCCAGTTAAGCTGACTGCAGTCGAAGGCGTCTCCCATGTTTCACCTACAACCCGATCCTGTGTGTGCCGTGGCCAAGTTATCCCAACTAGCTTTTTAATCTCGCCTCTCGAGCTTCCTGACTCTCCTCGCGTGAATCTAGTCTATAATACCCCTGTCACACGGCATGATTAATGTTATTCGCAGCGAATGTCATTACGATTTCTCACTCCAGGTCTACACCACTACCCAATGTGAAATGACATTTGCAATCAATGTTAATGTTTATCGGCAGGCTGCTATGACTCCTAAAATTACAAATCGCACATTCAATTTACATAACATACTCAAGCTGGTTCAAGATATACTGCGAGACGATAAAACAGTATCCATAAAAAACAAATCCTCGCGCATACCAGAAACAACACTAGCTATTATGGAACTGAAACAACACTCATTTACGGTTCACGTTAGATTTCTTGGACCCTCAAGGAATCACGAAAACGTCCGGAAAATTGGGCAGTCCAAAAAAACGAATGCAAGCGAAAACAGACTTTTTAATTGGCATTTTTTGCTGACGAAGAGAATCGCGGCAGGAGTTCAAGATTCTCATTGCAATTCAGGAAATGCATTGTTTAGAGGCTCTGGAGCCGTTTATATATTAAAAATGAAAAAAAAAAAAGAAAGGAAAGACCTCTGATGTGGCCGGTGCTACTGCATTTGTAAGCACTTAGAGGGGGGGGGAACAGAAGTAGCTTTTTTTTTGTTTGCACGACATTTAACTAGCCCACGATGATGTCTGCTTTATTTTCAGCTAACGTCCTGTTGTCGCTGTACACCGATGGTGAACCCGGTGACAGTGTTAGTGCTCGCGTCATCTCCAAGCTTATTGGCTGTGTAGGCGCAGCCTCTTCTATCTCGGTGTCAGAGTCGTCGGAAGTAACTTGGATGATTTCGCCATTCGTCAAGTCTGCACACAGCTCGAGGTATTCGTCAGCGTGGGCGAAGCCCTCAAAGGTTATCCCGGCTGTCATCGAAACACCGGCAGTGTGCAGATCATCGAAGGCAATCTCTGCGGGTGGAAGTTCGTCCCACACGTGTTTACTCTGGACGAGACGGTCCCAGTAGGAAGCTCGGGTGGCGAAAACAGTTTCGTAGGGTCTGTTGCATAACCGCCTTCAACGAGTCTGCAAGCATGCTGACGGCAGACCATAGATCAACAGCATAGCTTTTCCGCTGTCGGAAGACAGGAGCATAGGCTGCACAGCACCAGCTTGCTGTGGCATGGCTGTGGCCACAGGTTTGACTAAGCTATGGCGAGCAACGGATCGGTATGCGCTGGATTGGGGCATTTGCGGTTTCGAGAGTACGGCACCCACAGTGCGATAGGTTCGAGGGTACAAAAATAATCAAAATGGCAGCGTTGATAGTTAATTCGAGTCTGTCGTTTGCAGTAAAAAGTCCGGAAAATCAAATGGCAAAAGCTGTAAAGGTCCGGAATATTGGACTTTTTAATACACTAACTCCATGAGCAACTTGACGGGGCCACAAATAAATCCGGGAAATCAGGCATGTCCGGAATTTCGAGCGTCCGAGAAATTGGACGTCGACTGTATTTTGAAACTCAAACGTTTGCGGGAAGCCGTAAGTAAGATACAGGCATTGTTCACTTTGTGAAAATGCCTCCATTTTGTTACTATTTTTTAGGCAGCACCACCTTTTTCGGTAAGCCCTCTTCCAAACTAAACATGGCGTTCATGATGTAGGGCCATGTGGAGGGTGGTGGAGGGTCACTGTGCAGCCGCAAACGTTTGGCCAAAAACATACTTGTAATGTGGCAGTAAGCCTTAGAATGACCATTCAAACTGTCTCTCCTCAAATCTTTCTCCAAATGCTTCAACAATGCAAGCAAGCGAAACTAAAATTGGCAGCAAGCTGCCGTACTAGTAGCAACACGAATTTGTGGAAAATGGCTCCATAGTCTTCGCTACACTGTTAAGGGGGGACGTGGCAAGTAAAACTAATTTTTTTATTAATGTACTGTTTGTGATGAAATTTGGTGTGTGTATGTGGATGATTGTGAGGATTCCAAATATGAAAACCGTTTTCAAATACCTCTTGTACTTTTTGAGTTACAAGCATAAATATACTAATTAATGCTCTTCGCACTTAAAGAGATAATTATTGCTAAATGAAATTATTTTTTCATATTATTATGTTCCCAAAGCATCAACTTGTGCAAAGAAGCTATTAGTTGATTTTTCTAGTTCTTGTAACCATAAATAAAATTTCCAAAACATGGATGTTGTTTTGCGCACACATCGCAGTAATTATAAAATGTGTTCTAAAAATTTTAAATGATGAGTAAGAAGAGAGATAAAGCTTTATTGCACTGCTAAAGGCCTCCTGAGCCTAGTGCAAAAAACGGAACGACTCTATCAGTCTTTGTTAAAAAATGACAGATGTTCTAGCGAAGGCACATAGGCGAAAATCAAGAGTTGAGAAAACTGACTTTGAAAGTTCACTCTTGTTTGGAAGTTCACAACATGCCTAAAACACTCAGAATCCTCCTGGGCAGTAATCCTGAGATGCTGTGGCCTTGGCCTCTGTAGAGCGCAACCCAGTTTTGCGCTTCTTTGTCGTGGAACAGTGCGTCTTTTGAGCCCTCTTCACCCTTTTGGCATCCTTTTCGGCTGCTCGCCGCAAAGAGCAGTCTCCTGGATTGAAGCCCAGTTGAGCAGTGATCTCTTGCAGCGCACTCTTGCAGCCACCATTGAAACGGCAGACTGCATCTGCAACTGCACTTTCCACACTTCGAAGGGAGGCGAACTGGCTCTTGGACTGGAGTGACCAAATGAGGCTGTTCATACTCTCCACAGCGTTCTGGGTTTTTCCCTGCGCACACCTTTCAAGGAGCTCTTTGTTCGAGAGGCGCTTGTAGATTGGCAGCAGTGCCACTCGCACGTGAGGGGGCAGTTTATGTTTGTGAGGCGGCAGCGGCTCTCCCTTGGCCAATGCCTGATTGTGCGGGCACCAGGAGTCAGTCCCACTTGGGCACAGGTCGTGGTGTGGATCCTGGTCTGTGGATGTTACATGGTAATAAGTGGCCATGATGGCCCTCTCCATGCCAGGAACATCGTTGGGGTGGCTCTTAATGGCCCAGCCATAATAATTCGTCAACTTCTTTATAAGGCCCTGCGTCAGCCGGCCTTTGCCACCCATGCTCAGTCCTCGGCCTTTGGATTTGTGCTCATCAAGAAGGTTGCGCAAGGAAGTGCCCATTCTTTTTTTCACATGGTTCACACACTCCTGTTTCTTAATCAACATGTAGCCATACACCTTGTCTTGCGTGAGGGCAAGGTACGTACGGCTGTCACCGTCGCAGAGCACATTGATGTATCGAAGCTTGTACTTGGTAAACGATCTTTCAAACATGATCCTCGCTGCTTCTACTTCCATTTGGCCTGCATTAGCATCGGTGTTCTTTTGGCACTGTGGCTTGTGTTTCTCAAGCCACTCCTCATAGTTGTCGTCACCAGGCTTGGGACCAACAGCACAGCCTTGGCAGTAGTTGGACAGGACACAGTGGTCCAAGACCAAGCCTGTGTACAGCTCGATTACACAGCCCACGCCAATATGACTTCTGTGCCCCCTCGTCATCCACGTGCCGTCGTAAATGACGTCAATGTTGCCTGGCACTCCTCCTAGGTCCTTGTAAATGTCATGCACCTTCTGTGCACTTTCTGCTTCAATGCGGGTGGCAGCTGATGTGGTGGCAGGGTGGCTGTACTTCCTTTGCAGTCTCTGGTAGGACTTGTGGTGCAGTGCTCGATGCGAAATGTCCATCGCAGAAAAAATGTCATTTATGGCAGATTGTTTTCTGCCAACTGACTGCACAGCCCTCAAAGCACGCACGTTTACCTCAAAGGGGTTCGTTTTTTGTTGCCCGGAGCACCTCGGGGACGACCACGCACTGTTCACTATGCCACAATTGTCACAAAAAAGTTCCATCCTCGCCGCGAGTCCAAGGCAGTGCGTAGTCTTGAGGCGTATCGACCCTTCGTCGCACTTGTTGCACTTTACTGACGAAAGCAGACCGTTCAGCATCTTCTTATTTACAATGAAGAATGTGGAGCCCTTACCGCCGTCATTTTCGTCGCAGCCTTCGTTCAGAAGCTCGAGCTTCCGCTTTGAAGCGGATTTCGATGCTACGGCATCCAAAACATCCCGCCTTGTCTGCGCCCGCTGCGCGATTTCTTCACTGCTCGGAATCTGGGCCGAAACTCGCGATAGAATGTTCGACGCGCGCACGCCCGGAGTTGCAACGGCTGCCGACGCGGTGCCACCGCAATCGGGTTCGCGAGAGCGTCCATCACGGTCGACGGCATCCGGCGGTCTGACATACGACGATGTGGCACCTTCCACACTCTCGGCCTCACAACAATCAGCGAAGGGTCTGAGTAGAGGCTCCGTGACGCTTGAAGAGCATGCTCCGTCCGGAACTGCGACTGGGACGGCAGCCGCAGTCGTCTGCCCTTTGTTCCAAGCTTTCCGACGCTTGCCGTACTTGTGGACGCTCCGGAACTTTTTTTGCGACAACATAGCACCGCAGTATGAGCAAGCACTCAGAAGAGACCACCGATGTAAACAAAGCTTGGTAAAAAAAGCACGCGAACTATCACAAAAACAGCCAACTGGCAAAAAACGAAGCGCACGCCGGATGATTCTCGACTCGGCGGCCGCAGATGCGCTCGCGCTTCCAAGGTTGCCAAGGTGCGCGGCGCAGCTTTGACCAGTAAGAGGTCGCGCCTGCTACCACGTGACCCGCGCAGCCAATTGCCGTTCTTCGTTTTCGTTTTTTTACTTGCTCCTCACGCTTTTATTTTCACTCGGCGAAATACGAGACCGCGACCATCGGGAAGCCGGCTTTCTCCTCTTTCCAAAGCTACCAAAATGGCGGCCCACGGTCAACAACTTGGCGCGTTTGTGCGGCGTGAACAACACCGTTTCAGGGGCTTTTTTTTCGCACTTTTCGGCGACTAGCCTCGGCAAAAACACTATTTGCGGGATTTGTAGCGCACGTTTCGCTGTAATATTTTAGAACAAGGAAGTTGAAGGTCTGAAGATTACGAAAAAAAATAAATCAGAAAATCGCATATTTTGACCAAAATCGGCACTTTACTTGCCGCGCCCCCCCTTAAGGTTTCATGGCACAACACGCATTGCTATGAAGCAGCACTATAGGAAATATCCCACATATTATTCACTGCCTCCACTTGGCCACTGAAAATTGAGGGTTTTTTGTGCGGGTTATACGTGCAAAAGTATAGTATTCCTAAAGTATGGCTCTGCAGCAGTGAACGCCTATTCTAAATTGGTTGTTTCATGACACAGCAGCTCTTACTGCTGTGAAATACCATTATCTAGGGTAAATGTTCTCTAATATACATTCTCTCTAGTACCGTATTTACTCGCATAATCGGCGCACTCGCATAATCGGCGCACCCCTAGTTTGGTCGCGGAAAATTCGATTTTTTTTAATTCCGCGCATAATAGGCGCACCTTGAACTTGGCCGTGATCAGAAACGATTCTACCCCCCAGCGGTACAATTGGAACGCGGTCCCCATACCCTGAAGAAAAAAAGAAGGCAAATCGACGAGCAAATAAAAAAAATTCGAAGTGCAACGACCTAACCAACGTGCTTGTCGAAATAAAACTTGAAAAAAAAAAGCGTCCATGAGTGGAAAAAAAAACGGCTGTTCCATCAATTACTGATACCCCCCAAATCGCCGCGCTTTTTGGAGGTCACGTGTACAACGCCGGGGGCTCGATCGCCATCACCACCATCAGAGAAAAAGAAAGAAACGCCATTTTGCAAGCGGTGTGCATATGTTGTGGTCGTGTATTGAGCTTTGATTCCACCATGGGGAAGTACGCAAGCTACACGGCTGGGTTTAAACTGAAGGCAGTGCAGTGGTCTGTTGTTGTGGTCTGTTGGGTGGTCTGTTGTTGCCGTCCATGCTTGTCCTAGACAGTTTTCATGGGCACCTAGTAGACCGCGTACGAGATGAGCTAAAGGACAGATCTGGCAGTGATTCCGGGCGGCCTCACATCGATACTGCAGCCTTTGGACGTGTCCTTAAATAAACCTTTCAAGGACAATGTTCGAAGGCTGTACACCACCTGGATGGCTGGAGGACAACATCAGCTGACTCCAGGTGGTAAGATTAAGAGGCCGCCTGTGGAAATGCTGTGCGCTTGGATCGTGGAAGCGTGGCAGGGGATCTCCGACGAAGTCGTCAGGAAAAGTTTCAAGAAGACGGGTATCTCGAACGCACTGGATGCGAGTGAGGATGACATGTTGTGGGGTGCGGATGATTCGGACACCGAAAACGAATCCCCGCTCGGCGAGGATGAATGTGTGATCTCCGACTCGGACCCCGAATAGGGAAAGGGAGGAACAGCTACGACTTTTGTGTAAATAAATTTTACGTGTGTGTGTGTGCAGTTGACGGCTCTCACTTGTTCATTAAAAGGTACGTAAGTATGTTTGTTTTATGCTGAATTAATTGGTAAACGATAAAGTCGCCTTTTACTTGACAAGTGTGCAGATTTAAAGCGCGAGAACCGAGTTGAAAAAATTTTCGAAAATTTTACCCCGCGTAATTGGCGCACCCCTAACTTCGAGCTGGATTTTCTGAAAAAAAAGTGCGCCAATTATGCGAGTAAATACGGTATATCCCTTATCTGTTTATTTTGAATGATTTGAACTTGTCCTGAAGCAAGCTTTGGTACTCTGTTATTCATGAAAACATTCAAAGTGCTCAAATGTTCACCCTTGCCTAGTCCTTGGTAGGGCTGGGACAGTCCAGGACGATGAACCGATGAGATGGTTGTTTTTTTTCTTCTGTGCAGCGCTACAGGAATCGAGGTGGAGCTCTGCGGAGTGCCGGTCCTTGCTTGGTTGCATCAACCAGGCCCTATTTCACGAGTTTGGCCTGTCTGGAGATCGGCTGCACTTCCACGTACCGGAGAACTCGTTTATAGACAAGGTGGGAGAACTGTCCGTGTAGTTTATTGGGGCGAACACCTTACTGTAAAAATGTAAGAAGTTCGCTTTTTGGAAAAGTGAACCGGTTGGTACCGATTCGGATAAATTACAAGCCCTAAGACTATAAGGGCTAAGACAACAGGGAAGGGCCCAGCATGAGTTTTTTCTCACAACTGAAGGCTTTTTTATTGCTTCATAAGAAAGTTTATGCCCAGATCATATCCTCGCCTATCATTATGTGAGACATGCAAACTGTTGGCCAAAGCAAGACGCTACAGATACATAGCATTTGCTTCCCCTCCTACTATCACCTATTCTCGAGCAGAGTCGCCACTTTGGCAGATAAGGCCGAAAATATGTCACTGACGCACATGGACACCCAAGTGTTATTACAAAATGCTTCTGCAAGCTCACCTGTCGTGCGATGCGGTGTTTAAACGAAATTTCCGTGGCAACAATATGCACTCTGCATCAGCACTCAGCACAGTGTACTGCCAAATGTAAGTGGTCTTTTCTGCTAGAAAGACTGGTGATCTCTTAGGTGTATATATCCACACATTGGCCAACGTAAACGCATCCACAGTGCAGAGAGATGGATTAAACAATGCTCGTCTCACATGGTGCAAATCCAACCTTATGGTTGATAGTGCAGCGTTAGTGTCAGTGCCCCTTTGGCTGACCGGCTTTCCAAACTAAGTGAATCATTGCGGAGCGCGTGTGGGGCTCTTGGTGCATGAGCAGCCCCTATTTTGAGAGATGCTCCTTTTGCTCATTTTTTCTTCCTTGGCATGTCGTTCTCTTCACATTCGTTGTCTTCCTCTGTGGTCCACTGAGTGACTGCTGAACCAAGGTTGGGGGTTCAGTCGCGCCCTCAATGTCCGCATTTTAATGGAGGGAAAATGCTCGAGGCCCAAGGAGCTTCTGGGAACATATGAGTCCCTTAACTGGAGAACCACCCAGTCTGGTGCCTGCGTTGCACCACCAACATAGTTGGACTTAATAAAAGTCTATCCAGCGTCGCCCAGGTACTGTGCAGTGTTGGTGCATGCACGGACGAGGCATACCAACAAGAAAAGTTTCACTTGTCCTTATTATTTCTTTTGTGGCATGAAATGAAAGGCAAAACCTGAAAAACCGGAAAAAAGCACTTAGAGTGGCGGGCAACTTCAAAAGTTCGGGACGTGTCCTTCACAAAGGCAGAAGTACACCAACCTGCACCAACCTATGGGCACTTCCGGCTTACGTCATGAGCCGGACGGCTCATGCCTTTAGTTTTTTTTTGTTTTTCCTACTGTATCCTGACGTCCACAACATGATGTGAGGTTCTCGTCACGTGCTGACTTGAGATATCGTGATGTTTCTTGCCGCCTCACACGCAAGGCTATTTCGGAAGTTTTGGTACCTCACATCATGACAACTGGCCAAACAGCTGCGTGAAGCCACCCAAGTTACTACTGTAGCCCGACGTCAAGCTAGTGTCGATGTTGACAGGTTATAAGTTCTCGTGCCTGCTTTCTTTTCCGCTTCTTCAGTTGTTAGTCGGTGTTTGTGGTGTCTTAGCCTCCTTGTGTCCTTGTTTTCACGCCCTGTCTCTTCGAAATAATACTTAATAACTAGCTCAGCTCTGTTAATTTAAAATATGACTATGAGGGATGTCACAGTGCAAGGCTTCGGTGATTTCAATCAAATGTAATTCTTTAACACACACTGAAATTTAAGCACATGGGCCTCTAGCACTTAGGCTCCTTATGAATACAGCCGCTGCAGTAAGAATATTTTTTTTTTCAGGGGATTGCTTAGTCATACTTTATGAAATGGTCATGTGTGTTTTTGTAGGTGTGCGTGTATATATACCTATGCAAAATTTTAAGTATGGCCCACCGCGGTGGTCTAGTGGCTAAGGTACTTGGCTGCTAACCCGCAGGTCACGAGATCGAATCCCGGCTGCGGCAGCTGCATTTTCGTTGGAGCAAAAAATGCTGTAGGCCTGTGTGCTCAGATTTGAGTGCATGTTAAAGAACACCAGGTGATCGAAATTTCCGGAGCCCTCCACTATGTCATCTCTCATAATCATATGGTGGTTTTGGGACGTTAAACCCCACTTATCCATCATCAAATTTTAAATATGGGTGGAGGGGGGATAAATCGCCCTTCTTGGCTACGCTTCTGGCAGCAGCTGGGATTCATTCCAGTAGTCTAAAAGGAAACAGTAATTAAGATCAAGTAGTTCACATTGTAAGGTCCTCTTCAATAGCAACCTACAAAACTGTTTAGGAGGAGCAATTTTCATTGTGGAGAGGATTGCATAGGCTTTATTGTACATTAAAACAGTATTTAAGTGTATTAGTGCTTATAGCGTATTAATAATTCAATATGCCACATCTATATCCAGATTGTCCATATCCAAATCAGTATACCTAAATCATATCCAGATCAAGCTTGACAAGTCAGATATGGCTTCGCCTAGGTGACTGATGCGCGGTGTCTGGCTGCCTCCTTGGCTGAAGAAACATTCCTATATGCACTTCGTGGTGTTCCTCGACGGCATCGCTACCCAATATCCTGCTTTGTATCGGCGTAACACTCGTTCTCATTGGTGCATGCTTTCGAACATCAGCCTTTAGGTGGAAATGCCCCAATAGTCAGAAGTTGCACCAAGCTGTGGTGATGCGAAGATGTCGCTCAGCGTTGATTGAATGTGTGCTCGACACAGGTCTTGGAAAAGAAAACGGGAATCCCGCTGACATTGTGCGTCATCTACGGAGCGGTGGCCAGGCGCCTGGGCGTTCACTGCCTGCCAGTCAACTTCCCAACGCACTTCCTCCTCAAGTTTCTGGAGCACCCTCAGTGAGTCTCAGTTTTCTTGTGGTGACGGGGCCTTTTTTTTTTGTTTACATGTAGGGGAGTAGCACGAAAGACAGGAATGCAAGACACTAGGCATGTGTGAATACGCGCAAATTTCATTATAACGAAGTTTCATCTGACATGAAAATAAATTCTTTATATCCAAAAACTCGTTACAAGGGTGTATTCTCTAACACTATATCTATTGCAATGCTAGTCTTCATTTACTTCGTTAAAACCGATATTTTATCATATCCGGGTTCAGTGTATCGAGGTTTCAGTGTATTTGAGCACTTCGAATAAGAAGTGCATCTTATGCGCTGGAAAAAACAGTATTCGGAATAAACAAACATTTACAAGTCACATGCAAGATGTAACTCTCTGTAAAGGTGGTTTCACAGCAATGGAGACATGCTGCACTGCGAACACACCTATTAAGGGGGGAGGCTACCCTGGAGACCGAACTTTTTGATTTTTTAAGATATCTGGATGAAACTTTCAGGGGTTGTTCACTACAATAAAACTAGCACAACTGCTAAGTTTCACGAAGCTGTGTTTCTTAGTTCCAGAGTTATTGAGGTTTAACTGAGTGCTTCACATGGATGCCTGAGGAAGAGTCGTGAGAAATCCCAGGACATAGTAGAAAGCTGAAATTCATTGTGGTCATTCCTTGATAGCTATCCCAGGGCGCTACAAAGCCGTTTTTTTTTTATTCCCCCCCCCCCCCAAAAAATTTTCACGCAACTTTGAATTTGATGTAACCAGTAATGACCAGATTCATCAAAAATTAATTGTTTATTATAAATTAACAGCACCAATTTTCAAAAAAAGGAGCTTGTTACGCCCTTGCAAGGTCATTCAGGAACAGATTAAAAAAAACGGCACACAAATCTGATGAACGGTTTTCGAGTTCTTGCTTTCCTCAGCACCACAACTAGCAAAAAAATCCGTTCTGAGAAAACAGGTTGAGAAAGTTCAAAACACGTGTTTTCTTCAAAAAGCTCCAGCACAGTAGCTAGAAGTGTCCTTGCGCACTCTTTTCTTCTTTTGCCTGGCCTCCATCTTCTCTTGGTGTCTTTTAGAATTCTTTTTTAGGCGTAAAGCGTCTTTTTCACGAGCTCGCTGGATGGCCAGATGACCCGGTTGAAGTCCAATGGAGTCCGATATCACTTGGGTTGCTTTCCAGCAGCCGGCATTGTAGCGCAGCACTGCTTCATGCAGTGCTGTTTCTACCGCGATCAAGGATGAGTGTTGTTCCTTCGGCATCAGAGACCACAGAATGGAGTGGAATGATTCTGATGCATTTTGCGTCTTCGCTCCCAGGCAGCGCTGAAGAAGCGACTTTTGTGACAGTCTTTCGTAGATGGGCAGCATAGCTGCAGCGACATAGTCCGGTAGGCTGTGTTGATGTTTTGGCTGTGGCTCACGCTTTGCCTCTGCAGCTCTGTGGCGGCACCACGATTGAGCCCCCTCTGGGCAAAGTTCATGGTGAGGGTCCTGGTCAGTCGATGTGACGTGGTGATATGTTGCCATCACTGCACGCTGCATGGCTGTTAGGTCAGTTGAATTGTTTCTCGGGGCCCAACCATAATATCCTGTCAGCTTTTCAATGAGGGCTTTAGTCAGCTTTCCCTTCCCACTCAGTGGCTTATCACTTTTCTGCACTATGTTTCGAAGAGCACTTCCAATCCTTTTCTGAACATGGTTCAGACATTCTTCTTTTACAATTGGCACTAGCCCGTACACATTCTCTTCTGTGAGGGCAGCGAAGGTACGGCTGTCTCCGTCGGACACAATAGTGGTGTACCGCAGGCCATGCTTGGATACAGGCCGCCCAAAGAGAGTCAAGCCTGCCTCCACTTCCATGCTTCCCGATTTTGCGTCTGTGTTTTTCTGGCAAATTCGGTGCTTCTGCCAGCTTTCGTATGCTGCATCTCCAGGTTTGGGCCCTGTTTGGCATCCAAGGCAGTGGTTTGAAAGAACTACAGCATCCAAGATGAGACCTGTAAAGAAGTCAATTACCGATCCCACTCCGATGTGTGATGTGTGACCCCGCTTATGCCATGTGCCATCGTACACTACGGTGATGTCCTTGCAGAATCTGGGGTCCATTTCTTTATATGTTTTGATCACTGCTGTGGCAGAATCAGCATAAAACTTCTCCAAAGCGGTGGCCTCTGGCTTCCTGAACGTCTCTTTCAAGTGCTTTTGAAACGTCTTGTGGTGAAGACCTCTGTAAGAGACGTTCATGGCAGCCCAAAAGTCATTAAGAGCTGTTTGCCCCTTGCCTATTTGCTTTATAGCCATTATGGCGCGGACATTTACATCGAAGGCCTGCGTGTCCTTTTTGCGGGGTGATGTCCATAATTTATCGACGGTGCCACAAGAGGCGCACACGACTTCAAGTTTTGTTGCAAGTCCAAGCTTGGTGCTCTCTCGGACAGTCATAGCACCTTTCAAACATTCTTTGCACACAGTGCGGCTGAGCACGACGTTAAAGATGTTCATTTGAACGAGCGAAAAATGTTCGCCCTCACTTGTCACTGCAGGTGCAAGAGCCGGCTGCATCAGTTGAAATTTCTTCTGCGTCGCCGGCATAGACTCGAGTTCAGCGCGAACGGCGTCACGACGTTTCGCATTCGCATCGATTTCTTCTTTCGTTAGGAAACGCGTCCGCAGATGAAGCGACGGTCCACTCACGCTCGATGGCACCGATTCAGACGAAGTGCTGGGTCCGGCGATATCAGAAGCACTCGGTGTCACACTGGATGGCATCGATTCGGAGCACGTGTCGAGCCCGGCGATCTCGGAAACACTCGGTGCATTTGCGGCTCCAGCCACACTCGATGTGTCGGATTCTCGACTGGCGACAGCCGACAACACAGTTTCGTCGCTGCAAGCGTCTACGCAGTCGGCACCCGCAGCAGAATAGCGGAATTTCGATGATCGTACAAGCCGCATAGCGCGCCTCCGCGCACCGGACTTCCGCACTGACTTCGGCTTCGTTGCCGGCATCGCCCGCAACAACAAAGACGAAAGGCACAGAACTAGTGCAAAAAAAAAAAGAGAGAAAATGATCGAAAAGATAGCACAAGGCGAAGAGCGGCTCGTAAGCAGACGTCTGTCGAGGCGGACGGAGCAGAGAGCAACAACGAAGCGAGCGCGCTGGACGCGCCATCGAGAGGAGCGACCGCCCCCTCTGCTGCACAGCAGCCAATGGCGGGCACGCTTTCTCCCGCGAGATATGAATGCGCTGCTCTAGCCAGTCAGCGCTCCGCATCGCATCGCAGGAAAACGCCAATAGCGTCTCAACTGTGCTGCCGACGCCATTTTGCAAGGCGGCGAACGAGAGAGAAAGAATTCACGGTCAAAACAACACCAAGATGGCGCGGGACGACCGCATGGTCCGGGAGGGGCGCGCGCGCGAAGTTTGGTTTGATTTCGGGATTTGCGCCTGTTTTGGACGCCGCGGCGGCCTCGAAAATAGTATTTTTTTTGCACTTTGCGGTTGAATTAGGTGCTGATAATTACAGAATAGGTAGTTTATGAGACATACAACCCAAAAATGTGGTTTTTCAAAAACCGGCTTTTTCGCGATTTTTCGGTTTTCAAGGGCCGCGTCCCCCCTTAAGGGGAAAAGCCCCACCTCAAGGTTGAATCAACATGCAGATTATCCTCACATTGATTCATAATCCTTAAGTTCAGAAGTTTCTTATACCAGCTTATGTGCAGTAAGTGCAGTAGTTTTAAAACTGAATGTATTTCACAGGTTATCACTAGCATTCCGCCAAATGTCGAATTCTGCTACTATTCAAAGTTCCGTTTTAAACTAAAAGCATCACATTTGCACACGCTTTGTTCTAATTTTAAAAGATATTGTGCAGGTTAGTTGAGTCATGACAGATGTGTTCATTCTTTTTTTATTATATGTGATATATACTGCTGTAGACCCTCTTTAAACAGAACCTGAAGGGATGAGGAAAATGTGTTGCATTCAACAGGAGGTCAGTTAACCGAGAGATGAACATAGGGTGGATAATACAAATATGAAACCAATCGTGCTCGATGCAGTTGTTTCATTTAAGCAGCAGTTCCAGTTTAACTAGATCGCAGTTTAGCTTTACATACTTCATAACATAACTTCATAACAAATACGTTTAGCTTCATATTTAAAACAGGATGAAGCCCTACAATGAAAAACTTGCATCATGCGTGACATTTTCACATTGCAGGCTGCCAGAGGAGCAGCGGTACACGTACATTGACGTCTACCACGGGGGACGCTTCCTGGCACAGGGCGAATGCCCATCACTGTGCCCAAACCTGCAGCTGGACAGGAGAACCTGCTTCTCCGTGCTCCGCACACCAAAGGTCAGTGGTCAGTTCTCTCTAAATCATTAAAAAGGTACTGACATGAATATCATTTCGATGAATGGATTACCATTTGGATTTAGATGAATAAAATTATTAGGATTAATGCTCTAAAGGAAAACACAGGTCTTGAATCTAAAAAGAGTATTGTGGGGCCTGTAAATGCATTGAATGTATTTTTCATACTGCTATCTTAGCTTAGACATCGAGGGTGCAGCTTCTCAGTGACATGTCATAGCCGCGTGACGTCTCATAGGAAAACAGCAACTCGGGACGTACTACCGGCATATCGATCGTCCACTCGTGGTGCATGTTGGCAACAATTAGTGAATTATCGTCCAGCGACCCCGAGAGGGATTTCTGTGATTTGGGGTGCACCCTGGACGCAGAATTTTGGAACTGTGTTTAATTGTCGCAATGATGTCTATTGAAATGAATCTCCCTTGCACATGCTAAGGTGTAAAAGCTGTAGGATAATCGAAAAATATTTTAGAAGGGTCTTTTGACTTCGGTGTGTGGACAATGTCAATACTGTATACCAAAGATACAAAAAAATGTCCCTTTATTGATGTTTCGAAAGTGTGTCAGTACGCTTGCTGAAAGCTTCGGAAAACCTAATAAGGTTCCCAGCCCTGAAAAGGCTTCATTAGCTACTTGTTGCGTCAGAAAAAAAATATAAATTTAAAATGTTTTGTTGCTAATATGTACTTCAAAGGAACACTAAAGTGAAACGTTGAATCGGTTTCGGTGCCCCGCAGGTAGTGGCTAAGGTGCTCGGCTGCTGACCCGCAGGTCGCAGGATCAAATCCCGGCTGCAGCGGCTGCATTTCCGATGGAGGCGGAAATGTTGTAGGCCCATGTTCTCAGATTTGGGAGCATGTAAATAATACCAGGTGGCTGAAACATCCGGAGCCCTCCACTATGGTGTCTCTCATATTCATATGGTGGTTTTGAGACATGAAACCCCACATATCAGTCAAATCATCAATGAATTGGTTTTCGCCTATAAATTGTACTGTGAGAACTCTAATACTGACCATTTCACCAGGATAGGTTTTAACAGAAGAGAAAATGAAGGCCAAAGTTTTGTTTTTAAAAATGTAATCTGTTTAAGGTGTATGTTTTATATTCTGGTGTGATTGGCTAAATGAAATATACTGAAATTTGGTATGTTAGGTCAGTGATCCCCTTAGAGGGCAATACACTGAATTTCCTACTGATTAGGAGCTAGGTAGAACCTAGTAGATGCCATCAAAATCTAAGGCATTACGACGACGGGTGCGGGAATTTCAAAGTGGTGCCATCGCCTGCATTTTGTTTCCATGCACTTTCCCACTTACCAAGAGTCTTCTCGGGGCAGGCCTGATCACTTTAGAGTTGAGAAAGACTAATCTCTAATACGTGCAGAGATTATTTTTCTCTGTAGCCCGTCTCTTTCAAGTCATCTCCTCCTGCGTGTGCTCTGCAGGTGCTGGTGCGAATGTGCTGGAACCTGGTGGAGGCGTGGCGGCAATTGGAGGGCAACCTGGGCATGCAGGGCCTCCGCCATTCCCTGGAGCTGCTGGAGCTGTTTGAGGGCCGGGGTCGGCATCGCAGTGACCCTATGCGGGGAGACATTGAGCACCGGCTTCTGTTGGCCCGGGTGTACCTTCACCTGGGTATCAACTATGAGCAGGTGACGCAGATATTTGCAACAAGCTAGATGAGGAAGAATGCTGTTGCATGGTGTACAATCAAACCTTTATATAACAAACATGAATATTACGGATTACTGGTTATGACAAAGTAAGTGAACACTAGTCTTGTCATTAATGCAGTGTTACGAATGCACATCTATAACAAATTTTTGCGTATAGCGAAGTTATTTTATGTCAGTTATGACTTTGTTGTAACATGTTTGGAGTATATACCGTAATTACTCGAATCTAACGCGCACCTTTTTTCCGGTTTAGCGAGTTCATAAATCGCATGCGCGTTAGAATCGAGCACAAACAAAAAAATTTTGGTCAATCTATTGCCATCGGCAAATCCAAAATGGCCGCCCCCTACGTGCGTCGGCATGGCGCGTCGGCCATTTCTGCCTATGTGTTTGCCATGTACGGCACTTTGTACGTGTGCTGAGGAGTTCGTCATCTAGTAGTGCATTAGCATAGACGGCGTGGAAGGGCCGACTCCAAAAACTCGAGTGCTCCACGATGCCGCTTTTAAAAGTCATCACGTGTGCAGAAACGGACGGAAATCGGGCCGCATCGCGGTTGTTCGGAGTTCCCGAAACGTGCGTGCGGGACCGGCGGAAACAAAAGCAGAAGATTGTCGACAGCAAAGCTTCTCGCAAAGGCTTCAGTGGACCACAACAGGGTCGGTTTCCGCAAATTAAAGAGCTGCTCGGCGAGTATGTGCTTGAGCAGCGAGCGGCACAGCGGCCCGTGACGACAGAACTGCTCCAAGTGCGGGCTATGCAATTAGTCTTAGAAAAAGGTCTAATGCGGAGTCAGTTTTAAGCGAGCAGGTGCTGGCTAACTAACTTTATGAAGAGGAAAGGCTTTTCCCTCCGAAGGGCAACATGCATATGCGAAAAGTTTTGCGGAGGAGTACGATGAAAAGCTTCACAGTTTTCAGAGGTTCGTCCTAAACTTGCGGCGCAACAACGGCTACCTGCTTGGGCAAATCGGGAATGCCGATCAGACGCCTCTTTAATTCAACATGCCTGGCACCACAACCGTCGAGAAGAAGGGGGTGAAGCAAGTTCGCGTGCTGACATCGGTCCACGGTAAAACTACAGTGACGGCAATGCTTTGTTACACGTCAGATGGGCACAAGCTTCGCCCGTACCTCATATTTATATGGAAGACGCTCCCGAAAGGAGTCGTTTTTTCGAGTGGTGTGATCATGCGGGCCAGCGAGAAAAATGGGTGCGCGTTGCAATCGATGTCTTACCTTTTTTTTTTTTTTTTTTTCGCGGTGGAAATCGGGTGCGCGTTACAATTGAGGGCGCGATAGAATCGAGTAAATACGGTAGTCACCAATCGATTTTTCGCATCCAAAAAAATGCAAGGCTTCCAACAGCAATACATTTTCGCGGCTAATTTTTCCAACAGCACTTGCACTGTCAAGCTGGATTTTTTTAGACTAAACAGCTCGTGTCAAACCATGCTACTAAATTATTAACTTTGCTTTGTTGGATTTACTGTTGTCTTAGTCAAGTTTGGTTTCCAGGGGCCTGTTGTGTAGCCTCCAAGACATGTTGCACACACAATTTTCCAGTTTCAGAGGCTATGCCTACTCTTTTTTGGCTGACAAAAGTCGAAGGTCATTACTCTTGGTTATCTGTAATTTGTTATGTCTTTTAGTTACACTTCACTCAAACTTCGTTATGACAAAGTTGCATCTTACACGGAAGTTCATTGTGTCCAAAAATTTGTTATAAAGGAATATTCCTAGCACTATATTACAAGACCATTTTTCATTTACTTTGTTAGGACCGATATTTTATTAGATTTGGGTCCGTTATATTAAGTTTTGCAGTGTAGTTATTAATTGCATAGAAAACTATATGATCAGTAATGTAGTTTTAATATTTTCCTAGTAGTAATTTTTTGGGGAAAGTACCCAAATAAGCCCGCCCCCCACTCACCGCTAAAATTTTTCATGTTTTGTTATATTTTTGTGATATAAATTATTTATGTGCCTTCACATCAACCTCCAGTTGCCCAATTAGCCGTCCCACACGCACACTGCTGAAAAGTGTTCCTGTGTTCAGCCCCGATTTCAGTCATCTCCGACCTTTTGGAGGGGAGCAACTCTGAAGCAGAGAGGAATGCTCACTGATCTTGTTATTCCCTGTGCAGATCCTGTGCCTGCTGAAAGGCATTGAGGCGGCGCACCCAGCATCGAGCGGCATCGTGGCCTACATGTACCGCACCGCCCAGAGCCAGATGGTGGCACTGGAGCAGCGCAGGGAGACGCGCTCGCAGAGGCAGCCACGCAAGCTACGCTCCGAGCCCCGCTCCCACGCCAAGGTGGCTTACGCCGTCGGCATGATCATGAGACACAAGAAGTAAGCAGTCCATTTACAGTGGAGCTGTTAAATATACACTAAAGAGCAACAATGAGTAGGTTTAGATCGCCGAACGGGGCCCCGCCACGGTGGTCTAGTGGCTAAGGTACTCGGCTGCTGACCCGCAGGTCGCGGGATCAAATCCCGGCTAGTGGCGGCTGCATTTCCGATGGAGGCGGAAATGTTGTAGGCCCGTGTACTCAGATTTGGGTGCACGTTAAAGAACCCCAGGTGGTCAAAATTTCCGGAGCCCTCCACTACGGCGTCTCTCATAATAATATGGTGGTTTTGGGACGTTAAACCCCACAAATCAATCATAGATCGCCGAACAGCACTCGGAGAATTCGAATGACGTATATTTCACTATAGTAAGTTCATTGATATCGGAAAAAATTAAGGTTGAAGTGTTATTTTCATATTTCGTACCTAACTCTCCACGCGCGTCATCAGAAGTTTCAAATTGTGTTTTTGCTATTTTCAATCCATTGGCTAAATGAAATATTCTGAAACATCGTATGCTATGTCTATTGCTCCCACAGGTGACACTTTACATTATTTTTATTGATTGTGAACTACATAGAGCCTAGTAGACGACTTGAAAATCTATGACGTCACGGTATTTGGTGCGGGAATTGCAAGGTAGCGTCTCCGCCTGCATTTTCTTCTTGTTCGTTTTCTCGTTTACTGAAAAGTCATGTAGGAGAAAAAGTGTTGTTTTCGGGATTGTGAAATTGTACTTACACAAAAAAATTGTTTTGCTCATTAGTGTCCCTTTAAGGTGAGATGCGAGACGAAAAATCGCATTTTCTGTGGTTTCTCGTATTTCTGGTTTTTACTGAATTTTAATCTTCAATCCTTCTTCTATCATCTGTGAAACTTTCTAACGAAAGTCGAACAGAAAAATGCAAAATAATGTGTATAAAGGCGTTGTGGTGGCTCTAAATTTCGTGAATTTTCGCTAATATTGGCCACCTTTGAATGCGTGCTGCACCCCGTTGCAGCGCCGCCCGTTGTAGCGATCAGTTCGAAAAGTTGCGTTCGGCCTTCTTCTTGCAGCTCCGACCACCTCCAGTTTCGTACGTGAGCAGGAAAATATAAAACACAAAGCTTCTTTACCACGTGGTTTGAGCGGTTTGAAACGCGCGGCACTGTCGGCCGCATCGCCATTGGCTACCGAGTCGGTGTTGGCGGTGCGGTGACGGCCATCGGCATTTGGTCCGTCTGCTTATCTGCGCGTCTACGCATATTTTCGCAATGACAAGCCCGAAAAGGGCACCGAGAGACCACAGAAGCTTCGAACGAAGCACAAGTTCAAGGGAAAGCGGCGCAAAGCGTGTCGAACTACGGCGATGAAAGAGAACCAGCCTACGTGTGCTAGGCCTAGCGGCGGCATCGACGAGTGTGTGAGCGACAGTGGCTGCGATGAAGGGATCGAGGCTGCGCTTTCTTTCGTCAGCGCCTCGAAAAAAAGATCGGCTTCTTCGATAAAGACAAAAGACCTTGTGGTGAGATTTGTGCGGCGACACTGTTATGCGACACACTCTTGCTGACGGCACTTTGTGGGTGCGGCGTGCCCGGTTCGCGGTAATAAACAACTTGCAGTTCGGGAGCCGGCAGAAAAGCGCAAGGGACTTTCGTCGCTCCTCGAACTTCATTGTGAAAACGGCGAATGCTTAGCGACTGTACTTTCATGCTCTTATACGTCGCCACGTGTTACGGTGAACAGCAGCAGCCAGGCGAACCAACGGTATGACAAGGGGAGCTCCCGAGGTAGTTTCGCCGTAATTGTGAAGGCGGTGGTAACTGCACGCGCTGTTGGCATCGGGCATGAGCAACTGTCGAAATTTTGCTCCATTATTGGACTCTCAAAGCCAATGCACCACCGACGATTTTTTTCAATAGACAAGAAAGTGCACACCGCTGCCATGGAAGCTGTGAGTGAAAACTTGCTCCAATCGAGACAACTGACAAAAGAAGCAGCAGGTGAAACTGATGTGGCTGTCATGTTCGATGGAACTTGGCAGAAGAGGGGCCACAAAAGCCACAACGGTATTGGCACAGCTATCTCCTTAGATACTGGCCTCTGCTTGAACTTTCAGGTCATTTGAAATTTCTGCCTGACATACAGTAGACACAAAGATATGGGCCCTGACGAGAAAGTTCCGCAGGCATTCCATGGACCAGTCTGAAAAAAATGCAGACTGTTCCTCCCATGCCATGGAAACAGAGGCGGCAATGCGCACTTGGCGGAGAACGTTGAGTTACGAAACTTCATTGCGTTTCATGAAGTTCTTGAGTGACGGTGACAGCATAGCATATAGTGCAGTTGCCGAGTCAAAAGTCTATTGGGCTCTCATTATAGAAAAAGAAGACTGCACTAACCATGTGGCCGAAAGACTTGGCACTGCGCTACGGAATCTTCACGTGCCATTACCAGGAGGGCAGAAAATGAGAGCCGGCCATTCAGAAACTTCAGACGTATTACCATATTGCCATAACAAGCAACAGGGGGAGTCTACGGAATATGTACACTGCAGTATGGGCTTCATACTTTCACTCACGCTCTACGGACAATGCTGGCAGTCACAACTTTTGCCCTGCAGGAACAGACTCGGGGTGCAAACATAAACGGGCTGAAGCACTTGGCAAACCATGCACCACGCCACACACCTCTTCTGACGAAAGCACAGGGATTGACTGTTCTGCTGATTTATAAGCGGCTGACAGATGAGAAGCTCCTTGCTCCATGCATTCAAGAGAAAACCCAAAATGCGTCGGAATCCCTGAACAGCAAGATATGGCTACTTTGCCCCAAGACCAAGTTTGTCTCCCGAACAGTTGTCAAGACTGCCGTAGCTATTGCAATCCTGTGGTTCAGTAAGGGTCATGCTAGTTTCGAGCACATCCTGGAAGAGCTGAACATACTCCCATCTGGGGATCTAGTTGCTTTCAGCGATTCCTGCGATGCAAAGCACATCAAGAGGATGTCCGGACGTTTGACAGCACAAGCAAGGGCCCACCATTGTCGTGTAGTGAAAAGGGCACGGCTTGAAGAGTGTGCTCACAAGGACCGTGAAGGCACAACCTACGCTGCAGGACAGTCCTAATAACTTGCAGTGCTTCTCAAAGCTCTCTTGAACATTATGGCCAAAGATTATGCGTTTCTGACAACTCTATGGTAAAAAAAAAATTTAAACTTTCATATGCATTTTTCTCCTTTTGCAGTTTTGTGTGATCTGTGCTGCTTATGCACACTAGTTAGTATACTTAGAATTGTCAGAACTCTACGAAAGTTTGCACATAGCATGATGAAAGCCTTGTAGAGTGCAAGTATCTATTTTTATTTCAAATGCTGCTTAGTTATGTTTTTCAAAATATTACATAACATTGAAAGCCCTTGGCAACTAGAGCCATGGTAGAGTTTTCTATTTTATCATTGTATTCTACCTTCTTACACATGAAACTTGTATAGTTTTCTGCACTCTACAGTTCCAAAGGATCATAGTGAGCTATATCTGCAAGCTTTATCTCAAAGTTTTATAGGTCAAAATTATCGCACAAAATGGCCATAATTTCGCAGTATCTGAGCTACAGAAATGAAACCAAACAAGCTACATGAAAATAAATGACATATTTGAAAGGAGGAGAAAAACTCTTTTAGCATGCGGATATGTGTTCAATTCAGACTCTTATTAAGGGGGGGCGCGGCAAGTAAAGTGCCGATTTTGGTCAAAATATGCGATTTTCTGATTTATTTTTTTTCGTAATCTTCAGACCTTCAACTTCCTTGTTCTAAAATATTACAGCGAAACGTGCGCTACAAATCCCGCAAATAGTGTTTTTGTCGAGGCTAGTCGCCAAAAAGTGCGAAAAAAAAGCCCCTGAAACGGTGTTGTTCACGCCGCACAAACGCGCCAAGTTGTTGACCGTGGGCCGCCATTTTGGTAGCTTTGGAAAGAGGAGAAAGCCGGCTTCCCGATGGTCGTGGTCTCGTATTTCGCCGAGTGAAAATAAAAGCGCGAGGAGCAAGTAAAAAAACGAAAACGAAGAACGGCAATTGGTTGCGCGGGTCACGTGGTAGCAGGCGCGACCTCTTACTGGTCAAAGCTGCGCCGCGCACCTTGGCAACCTTGGAAGCGCGAGCGCATCTGCGGCCGCCGTGTCGAGAATCATCCGGCGTGCGCTTCGTTTTTTGCCAGTTTGCTGTTTTTGTGATAGTTCGCGTGCTTTTTTTACCAAGCTTTGTTACATCGGTGGTCTCTTCTGAGTGCTTGCTCATACTGCGGTGCTATGTTGTCGCAAAAAAAGTTCCGGAGCGTCTACAAGTACGGCAAGCGTCGGAAAGCTTGGAACAAAGGGCAGACGACTGCGGCTGCCGTCCCAGTCGCAGTTCCGGACGGAGCATGCTCTTCAAGCGTCACGGAGCCTCTACTCAGACCCTTCGCTGATTGTTGTGAGGCCGAGAGTGTGGAAGGTGCCACATCGTCGTATGTGAGACCGCCGGATGCCGTCGACCGTGATGGACGCTCTCGCGAACCCGATTGCGGTGGCACCGCGTCGGCAGCCGTTGCAACTCCGGGCGTGCGCGCGTCGAACATTCTATCGCGAGTTTCGGCCCAGATTCCGAGCAGTGAAGAAATCGCGCAGCGGGCGCAGACAAGGCGGGATGTTTTGGATGCCGTAGCATCGAAGTCCGCTTCAAAGCGGAAGCTCGAGCTTCTGAACGAAGGCTGCGACGAAAATGACGGCGGTAAGGACTCCACATTCTTCATTGTAAATAAGAAGATGCTGAACGGTCTGCTTTCGTCAGTAAAGTGCAACAAGTGCAACGAAGGGTCGATACGCCTCGAGACTACGCACTGCCTTGGACTCGCGGCGAGGATGGAACTTTTTTGTGACAATTGTGGCAGAGTGAACAGTGCGTGGTCGTCCCCGAGGTGCTCCGGGCAACAAAAAACGAACCCCTTTGAGGTAAACGTGCGTGCTTTGAGGGCTGTGCAGTCAGTTGGCAGAAAACAATCTGCCATAAATGACATTTTTTCTGCGATGGACATTTCGCATCGAGCACTGCACCACAAGTCCTACCAGAGACTGCCAAAGGAAGTACAGCCACCCTGCCACCACATCAGCTGCCACCCGCATTGAAGCAGAAAGTGCACAGAAGGTGCATGACATTTACAAGGACCTAGGAGGAGTGCCAGGCAACATTGACGTCATTTACGACGGCACGTGGATGACGAGGGGGCACAGAAGTCATATTGGCGTGGGCTGTGTAATCGAGCTGTACACAGGCTTGGTCTTGGACCACTGTGTCCTGTCCAACTACTGCCAAGGCTGTGCTGTTGGCCCCAAGCCTGGTGACGACAACTATGAGGAGTGGCTTGAGAAACACAAGCCACAGTGCCAAAAGAACACCGATGCTAATGCAGGCCAAATGGAAGTAGAAGCAGCTAGGATCATGTTTGAAAGATCGTTTACCAAGTACAAGCTTCGATACATCAATGTGCTCTGCGACGGTGACAGCCGTACGTACCTTGCCCTCACGCAAGACAAGGTGTATGGCTACATGGTGATTAAGAAACAGGAGTGTGTGAACCATGTGAAAAAAAGAATGGGCACTTCCTTGCGCAACCTTCTTGATGAGCACAAATCCAAAGGCCGAGGACTGAGCATGGGTGGCAAAGGCCGGCTGACGCAGGGCCTGATAAAGAAGTTGACGAATTATTATGGCTGGGCCATTAAGAGCCACCCCAACGATGTTCCTGGCATGGAGAGGGCCATCATGGCCACTTATTACCATGTAACATCCACAGACCAGGATCCACACCACAACCTGTGCCCAAGTGGGACTGACTCCTGGTGCCCGCACAATCAGGCATTGGCCAAGGGAGAGCCGCTGCCGCCTCACAAACATAAACTGCCCCCTCACGTGCGAGTGGCACTGCTGCCAATCTACAAGCGCCTCTCGAACAAAGAGCTCCTTGAAAGGTGTGCGCAGGGAAAAACCCAGAACGCTGTGGAGAGTATGAACAGCCTCATTTGGTCACTCCAGTCCAAGAGCCAGTTCGCCTCCCTTCGAAGTGTGGAAAGTGCAGTTGCAGATGCAGTCTGCCGTTTCAATGGTGGCTGCAAGAGTGCGCTGCAAGAGATCACTGCTCAACTGGGCTTCAATCCAGGAGACTGCTCTTTGCGGCGAGCAGCCGAAAAGGATGCCAAAAGGGTAAAGAGGGCTCAAAAAGCGCATTGTTCCACGACAAAGAAGCGCAAAACTGGGTTGCGCTCTACAGAGGCCAAGGCCACAGCATCTCGGGATTACTGCCCAGGAGGATTCTGAGTGTTTTAGCCATGTTGTGAACTTCTAAACAAGAGTGAACTTTCAAAGTCAGTTTTCTCAACTCTTGATTTTCGCCTATGTGCCTTCGCTAGAACATCTGTCATTTTCTAACAAAGACTGATAGAGTCGTTCCGTTTTTTGCACTAGGCTCAGGAGGCCTTTAGCAGTGCAATAAAGCTTTATCTCTCTTCTTACTCATCATTTAAAATTTTTAGAACACATTTTATAATTACTGCGATGTGTGCGCAAAACAACATCCATGTTTTGGAAATTTTATTTATGGTTACAAGAACTAGAAAAATCAACTAATAGCTTCTTTGCACAAGTTGATGCTTTGGGAACATAATAATATGAAAAAATAATTTCATTTAGCAATAATTATCTCTTTAAGTGTGAAGAGCATTAATTAGTATAATTATGCTTGTAACTCAAAAAGTACAAGAGGTATTTGAAAACGGTTTTCATATTTGGAATCCTCACAATCATCCACATACACACACCAAATTTCATCACAAACAGTACATTAATAAAAAAATTAGTTTTACTTGCCACGTCCCCCCTTAAAGAAAATCATTTTCCGAGTCGCATCTCCTCTTAAGCCTTTCGTTACGCCAGTTCACGTCATGACAAAGCTGTCGTAACACGAACAGCTAGGGTCCACAAACGGCTGTGGCCTTCCTTGGCTTGGGCAAGTTGGTTCATTGTGCAACAAGGGTAAACAGCAGAGAACTGTAGACTAACACAAAAGGAGACGGACAATGACAGGCACCTCTTGTTTTCTGTCTTCCATTGTGGCCGTCTTAATTTCAGCGTTGTTTCCCCTTCTTGATCAGGAACAGGTGTGAACCATAGAAACCAAGCAATCCCACTCAGAATCCCAATGAGGCTGGTAGAGCCAAGGCCAGGACGGTATTAATTACTGATGACCGAATCAATCTGAACAAGTCTAGTTAGTGTAAATTAAACATAACCTAATTAAGACTAATTCAGTTGTGAATTGAATCAAGCCTATTCAAAATACCCGAGCTTCATGTGACCTAATTATGTTAATCAAGCCTAGTGGATATTGAGCCATTCAGGGACTAGCTGAGAGACCACCAGTTTCATAGTGATTTATCCTGGCATCTTTTGAGCAAGCTGCAAACATTTTTCTTTCTCGCGCCTTTTATCGTGGAAGCTGTGAAGGGCTTGCTCCAATAGTCATTTTCGGCAGTGACATATACTGCTGCCAGTGTCTGTTGCAACTATTGTCCATTATAAGAAAAGAAAAATCTTTCAACTTATGCATAGGTACATGCGTGTTTAGTATCCCTTCAATGGGCTATGTCAGCATTTGCTAACAGCTCCAGGAAAATGTCACAGGGGTTCAAAAGTATGTGTCAACTGTTCATTGTAGATAATTCTTTGCACCCATGTTTGTTAATCTTGAGTTTAAGTATACTTTTATTTGATGTTCCTTTTTCTAAGAAAAATGGTGTTTTGTGGCATGTTAATTTTTTTTTACAATTGCTGTATTCATGGCCAGGTATTGAAGCAAGTAGCTTGCACGTAATTCATTTTGAAGTGGAACAGTGTTTCAACTTTAAGGGGCTGCGTGATGGAGTGAGGGCTGAGATGAAGGGAGACCACGAAACAAAGAGCTTTATCCTGTGGTATCCCTTGTGTTTCTCTGCGGTGTGCTTAATTTGTCTTCCAAGCTGCATTTCAACAAATTATTGCAGATGTCTACTCTTTCGCTCTTTAAACAGGCTATGTAATGGTGCGAGGCTTAGTCGAGTGAGGAAACTCACAGGCCTCCCTTGAATCATACAGGTACCACTACCACTGCGTCATCTACGGCTGGGACGGCAAGTGTGCGGCCAATCGGGACTGGATCTTCCAGATGGGCGTGCACAACCTGAGCCACGAGGACAGGCAGCCCTTCTACAATGTCCTAGTCGAGGACGGCTCCAACCGATACGCTGCTCAAGGTGTGCCACCGATTTGCTGCGGCTAGCTTGCATTGGCATCAGGAGTGTCTTTGTGATTGTGTTATATGTTGCCAGTACAAAAGCACAGTGACACATTGTTAATGCATACACTCATGCCTTAAGGGGGGGCGCGGCAAGTAAAGTGCCGATTTTGGTCAAAATATGCGATTTTCTGATTTATTTTTTTTCGTAATCTTCAGACCTTCAACTTCCTTGTTCTAAAATATTACAGCGAAACGTGCGCTACAAATCCCGCAAATAGTGTTTTTGCCGAGGCTAGTCGCCGAAAAGTGCGAAAAAAAAGCCCCTGAAACGGCGTTGTTCACGCCGCACAAACGCGCCAAGTTGTTGACCGTGGGCCGCCATTTTGGTAGCTTTGGAAAGAGGAGAAAGCCGGCTTCCCGATGGTCGCGGTCTCGTATTTCGCCGAGTGAAAATAAAAGCGCGAGGAGCAAGTAAAAAAACGAAAACGAAGAACGGCAATTGGCTGCGCGGGTCACGTGGTAGCAGGCGCGACCTCTTACTGGTCAAAGCTGCGCCGCGCACCTTGGCAACCTTGGAAGCGCGAGCGCATCTGCGGCCGCCGTGTCGAGAATCATCCGGCGTGCGCTTCGTTTTTTGCCAGTTTGCTGTTTTTGTGATAGTTCGCGTGCTTTTTTTACCAAGCTTTGTTTACATCGGTGGTCTCTTCTGAGTGCTTGCTCATACTGCGGTGCTATGTTGTCGCAAAAAAAGTTCCGGAGCGTCTACAAGTACGGCAAGCGTCGGAAAGCTTGGAACAAAGGGCAGACGACTGCGGCTGCCGTCCCAGTCGCAGTTCCGGACGGAGCATGCTCTTCAAGCGTCACGGAGCCTCTACTCAGACCCTTCGCTGATTGTTGTGAGGCCGAGAGTGTGGAAGGTGCCACATCGTCGTATGTCAGACCGCCGGATGCCGTCGACCGTGATGGACGCTCTCGCGAACCCGATTGCGGTGGCACCGCGTCGGCAGCCGTTGCAACTCCGGGCGTGCGCGCGTCGAACATTCTATCGCGAGTTTCGGCCCAGATTCCGAGCAGTGAAGAAATCGCGCAGCGGGCGCAGACAAGGCGGGATGTTTTGGATGCCGTAGCATCGAAGTCCGCTTCAAAGCGGAAGCTCGAGCTTCTGAACGAAGGCTGCGACGAAAATGACGGCGGTAAGGACTCCACATTCTTCATTGCAAATAAGAAGATGCTGAACGGTCTGCTTTCGGCAGTAAAGTGCAACAAGTGCGACGAAGGGTCGATACGCCTCGAGACTACGCACTGCCTTGGACTCGCGGCGAGGATGGAACTTTTTTGTGACAATTGTGGCATAGTGAACAGTGCGTGGTCGTCCCCGAGGTGCTCCGGGCAACAAAAAACGAACCCCTTTGAGGTAAACGTGCGTGCTTTGAGGGCTGTGCAGTCAGTTGGCAGAAAACAATCTGCCATAAATGACATTTTTTCTGCGATGGACATTTCGCATCGAGCACTGCACCACAAGTCCTACCAGAGACTGCAAAGGAAGTACAGCCACCCTGCCACCACATCAGCTGCCACCCGCATTGAAGCAGAAAGTGCACAGAAGGTGCATGACATTTACAAGGACCTAGGAGGAGTGCCAGGCAACATTGACGTCATTTACGACGGCACGTGGATGACGAGGGGGCACAGAAGTCATATTGGCGTGGGCTGTGTAATCGAGCTGTACACAGGCTTGGTCTTGGACCACTGTGTCCTGTCCAACTACTGCCAAGGCTGTGCTGTTGGCCCCAAGCCTGGTGACGACAACTATGAGGAGTGGCTTGAGAAACACGAGCCACAGTGCCAAAAGAACACCGATGCTAATGCAGGCCAAATGGAAGTAGAAGCAGCGAGGATCATGTTTGAAAGATCGTTTACCAAGTACAAGCTTCGATACATCAATGTGCTCTGCGACGGTGACAGCCGTACGTACCTTGCCCTCACGCAAGACAAGGTGTATGGCTACATGTTGATTAAGAAACAGGAGTGTGTGAACCATGTGAAAAAAAGAATGGGCACTTCCTTGCGCAACCTTCTTGATGAGCACAAATCCAAAGGCCGAGGACTGAGCATGGGTGGCAAAGGCCGGCTGACGCAGTGCCTTATAAAGAAGTTGACGAATTATTATGGCTGGGCCATTAAGAGCCACCCCAACGATGTTCCTGGCATGGAGAGGGCCATCATGGCCACTTATTACCATGTAACATCCACAGACCAGGATCCACACCACGACCTGTGCCCAAGTGGGACTGACTCCTGGTGCCCGCACAATCAGGCATTGGCCAAGGGAGAGCCGCTGCCGCCTCACAAACACAAACTGCCCCCTCACGTGCGAGTGGCACTGCTGCCAATCTACAAGCGCCTCTCGAACAAAGAGCTCCTTGAAAGGTGTGCGCAGGGAAAAACCCAGAACGCTGTGGAGAGTATGAACAGCCTCATTTGGTCACTCCAGTCCAAGAGCCAGTTCGCCTCCCTTCGAAGTGTGGAAAGTGCAGTTGCAGATGCAGTCTGCCGTTTCAATGGTGGCTGCAAGAGTGCGCTGCAAGAGATCACTGCTCAACTGGGCTTCAATCCAGGAGACTGCTCTTTGCGGCGAGCAGCCGAAAAGGATGCCAAAAGGGTAAAGAGGGCTCAAAAGGCGCATTGTTCCACGACAAAGAAGCGCAAAACTGGGTTGCGCTCTACAGAGGCCAAGGCCACAGCATCTCAGGATTACTGCCCAGGAGGATTCTGAGTGTTTTAGGCATGTTGTGAACTTCCAAACAAGAGTGAACTTTCAAAGTCAGTTTTCTCAACTCTTGATTTTCGCCTATGTGCCTTCGCTAGAACATCTGTCATTTTCTAACAAAGACTGATAGAGTCGTTCCGTTTTTTGCACTAGGCTCAGGAGGCCTTTAGCAGTGCAATAAAGCTTTATCTCTCTTCTTACTCATCATTTAAAATTTTTAGAACACATTTTATAATTACTGCGATGTGTGCGCAAAACAACATCCATGTTTTGGAAATTTTATTTATGGTTACAAGAACTAGAAAAATCAACTAATAGCTTCTTTGCACAAGTTGATGCTTTGGGAACATAATAATATGAAAAAATAATTTCATTTAGCAATAATTATCTCTTTAAGTGTGAAGAGCATTAATTAGTATAATTATGCTTGTAACTCAAAAAGTACAAGAGGTATTTGAAAACGGTTTTCATATTTGGAATCCTCACAATCATCCACATACACACACCAAATTTCATCACAAACAGTACATTAATAAAAAAAATTAGTTTTACTTGCCACGTCCCCCCTTAATATAGTGAACCCAGATGTAATGAGTTATCGGTTATAACGAGGTAAATGAAGATAGTCATCAAATAGATAGTGTTAGGAATAAACCTCTATAACAAATTTTCGGATATAACGAACTTATTTTCGTGCAAGATGCAACTTCCTTATAATCAAGTTCGAGTATACCTGTTTAGATGTGTCAGCAGCTAAAACGTAGTTGCGAAGTATCCCCAGCCGAGTTACACAGAGCGTAATGTGTTTGTTGACTGCATAAGCCGTAGTGGCTTGTCTTGGGCCTATTGGCTAGTGCTTACAATAGCATTTTGCGGCACAAAACTTAAGGGGGGACACGGCCTTTGAAAACCGAAAAATCGCGAAAAAGTCGATTTTTGGCAAACCACATATTCGGGCAGTATGTGTCATAAACTAACTTTTCTGTAAATATCAACGTCTAATTCGTCGCGAAACCATTTGAAATAAAGTTTAGAACATGCCGCGGCGGCCCTCGAGCGGCGCGCGAGCGCTCAAAATACCCCAACTTGGCGTGATCGCAGTTTCTCGACCGCTCGACGGAGCGCCGCCATTTTGGTGTTGTTTTGTTTGTGAATTCTTGCTCTTTCTTTCCCCGCCACCTGCGTCGCCGGCGGCAGCGCAGGAGAGGAGCAAGCCGCTCATGATTGGAGGGCTCGCGAGAGCTTTCAAGTTTCCCGCGGCTGAGGCGCGCAGCTGGAATTGGGCGAAGCGCGCGCTCCCCAAGGATGCGGGGGAGCCCGCGACTGCCATTGGCTGCTGCGCGCAATGACGTAGCGCTTTTGCGCATAATGCGGCCGCTCGTCTGCTGCTCCTCCGTCCGGCGTCTTTGTGTTCCGCTCGCTTCCGTGTATCGTTGCAGCCGTTCGCATACTCTCCACGTTTTAACTGTCTTCGAAACGATTTTCAACCGTCTTTACGAGACTATTTTCAACCGTCTATACGAGACCATTGTTGTGTTCGCTCACGATGCGCCCAACGAAAAAGAAGACGCTACAATCGTTCGGTGCAAGGAAGCGAGCTATGAAGCTTGTCCGCGCGGCGAGGCTCTCCGCTCGCACGTGCGCCCCGACGGTGATCGTGCCGACGGTACCTGTGGGGCAGCTTCTGCTTCATCTACGCAAGAGAGTGGTCGCATCGACGCGCCTAGCAACGGGACTCCTGAAATGGTGCAAGAATTTGTCGTTACAAGTGCGGCTGGTGTCTCGTGCTCATCGACAGTGGCATCCGCATCTTCTCTTTCATCGGCCTCGAGTGCGATCGCGTCGTCAACTGTGCATTTGCGAACAAGTTTCCTGACGTGCGAGGAGAAAGAGGCGGCGGATCAACAACGCGCTGCTGTGCAAAGAGAACTTGGCGCTATGCCAGCGATGGAGCGGAAATTTCAGGCAATGGAGCACGATCATGAAGCTGCCACCGCTACAAGTGAAGGCGAAAAATTTTTCCTTGTGCAAATGGATGCCCTAGACGACCTGCTATCTCGGACCCCGTGCCACTGGTGCACCGCGATTGGGATGAAGGTACGAGGAGGCACCCAACTTGGACTTGCTGCAAAGCTTGAGCTAGTATGCTTGCATTGTGGAGTAGTTTCAAGCTCATGGAGTTCATCTCGTCAGGATGACACAAAGGCCTTTGATGTGAATGTAAGAGCCATTATGACAACAAAACA